TTGGAAAGTATATACCTCCAGAGGCTGTAACAGAAATTTCAACATGAGCCTGTCTAGTCATGCTTTTTATTTTTTATGATATTTTGACATCTTGGGGGCTTTACTGACTGAGCAGAGTCTGCCTTTCCTAGGACTAACCAATTCTTAGAGATAGCAAAGGGGGCTCAACAGGGAATATAACGTTTATACGAAGACTAACCAATCCATAGGAAGATGTGGGGTGTGTGTCTGTGTGTGTGTGCGTGCGTATTACTCATCTATTTAAAAAAGATCCCATTTGCAACAATATGGACAGAACTGGAGGGGGGTTATGCTAAATGAAATAAATCAGGAGAAAGACAAATGCTGGCTGATTTCACTCATATGTGGAATATAGAGAAACAAAACAAAGGAACAGAAAAACTAAGCCAAAACAAATCCTAGAAATCTGATTGTAGAACTGAGGTTACCAGAAAGGGAGGATGCAGGATAAAGAGAAAAGGAAGGAGGGAACTCAATGGAATATAGTGGAGGACTAATGGTGCTTTGGTGGTAGGTAACAAACATCTGAGAAGGGAAGAACCTATACCCTTAAATCACATACAGTGTTGTAAACCAACACTAATAAAAAATACTAAAAAAGAAAATCTTACCAAACCAGAGGGTCCCACCTTGGCACTTGCTACTATGGGCCTAATGGATGGTGCCACCAAGAAGCCCGCTGTGCTCAGTTGCCTCCCCAGCAGTGCCATGTTGTGGCGGTGAGTGCTCCTGCATTCAAACCTCTCATAATGCAAATTTCCCTCTCTCCAAAAAGGGGAAAATCCTCTTGAATTTGGACAAGAAACTGGATGAAAACCTGGATCCTGATTGTTTTAATCCAAACCCCACCATACCAGGATCCCTTCCATTCCACTCAGGTGTTGATGCTGTCCCTGGAAAAGAACAAACTCTTTCAAATTCTACCTGATCATTTATGGTCCACATCCCCTATAGCTATTGGGTGTATCCACTCTGCCACCCCTATCAAAATAGAGAAATCCCCAGCAAAATCTTTACCTAATATCAAACAGCTGCCCTTTAAGCCTGATGCCTTTGAAGACACTGGGCCAATTATAGAGGACTGCATAATAAAGGAGGTCAATAATCCCCTGCACTGGCCTCTATAATACCCCCATTTTACCAATAAGAAAGCAAATGGAAGAGGATGGCAATTTGTTCAGGACTTGAAGGAACACAAATATCATAATTATTATGCACCACCATCCCACAGTTCCAAACTCCCACACTTTGCTAACTGCTAGTCCTACAGAAAGCACAAACTTCACAGTAATAGACATACGTAGCTTTTTCTTTAGTATTCCTGTAACTCCAAAAAGTCAACTTCTTTTTGCCTTCACTTGGTACTAATACCAATATCCTTGGACAGTGATATCACTGGTTACACCTGCTTTTCTTCAGTCTCAAAGTCTGATCTGTCAGATGTTAGTTCTCCATGAGGCTCCACCCTCCTCTATTATGTGGATGACCTTCTTTGCACCTCTGACAAGGAAACTCCCCATAAGGAGAGCCCCCACTTGCTTAATCAACTAGTCTTTGACGCCATAAGCTATCTAAAGACACTGCAATTTTGGTTACTGAAAGTGAAATATTTGGGCCACATTATTGCAGTGAAGGATTTTTCATTAGTCCAGATAGAGTAAAATGGATCTTGGCATTTCCACTTCCCTAAGGATACTGTTGAAACTGAATGCCAAACTTCTCACTGATGGCTCAAGCACTCTACTTCCTGTTGAAAACAGTACAGCCAGATCCCTCAAATGAATCAAGAAAGACCAAGTGGCATTTAAACAGATGAAGGAGACCTTGAGCAATGCACAAGTTCCAGGATATCCAAATTATAAACTCCCTCATTCCTGCTTCCTGTGTGAAGTAACTGGAAATGCCCTGGGGCTGCTAACCAAAAAACACAGAAAACAAAATAAGCCCATGGGATATCATAGTCAACACCTAGATGCTGTGTCTGGGGGACTGCCTTCCTGTATGCGAACTACTTCTGCTACTGCAGATTTACCTAAAAGCACTGAAAAAATAGTTACGGGGTCCTCCCAACCATTCATGTACCTCACAGTATAAGCCCTCCTTAATTCACAACATACCCAACATTTTTCTACCGATGGCTTAACTTCTGACAAGATTCTCCTATCTTCCCCTAAGCTAACTCTCTCTCAATGTCATAATTTAAACCTTGCTACCTTTCACCTTTGCCTTCTGATAATCTTTCTCATCACTGCATCACATCAACTGATCAACTAGTCCTGATCAACAGGACTTGCAAAAACAAGGCAATGCTGAAGCAATTTGGAATATTGAGGGGTCCCATTTGAAAAAGACTAAATGCATATTGTGCAGGCTACACAATAGTCTCTAGGAATGAAATTACTGAAAGCAGCCTCTTCTTACATATTTGCCCTATAAGTTGAATTAAGAGCACTAACCTGAGCATGTTTTTAGTTGAGGGAAAAACAGCCTGTACACATAGAGCAGATATGATTTGGAGTAGTCCATTATTTTGGAATGTTATGGAAACAAGGTTTCTTAACCTGAACTGGCAAGACAGTCAAAAATAAGCAAGTCTGTTATCTTTTGGATACTCTGCAGAAACCCAAATCCTTAGCTGTAATAAAAATTTTTGGGCATTCAAAAATTAAATACTCAAATAGCAAAAGCAACCATTTTACTGATACTGCCACCAAGGCTGTTGTCTTGCAGTCCTTCCAAATACTTTTAATATTCCTGGGATGTTTATGCCAAAATCCACAGTCTTAAAAAGAGATCTAAGACTTATAGCTCATGTACTAGCATCGAGGTGAAAATAAAGTAACTGGATAAACCAAAGATGCCCCAGTGGTGGCTCCAGCCTTGCTGAAGAACTCCAGGGGATTATTTTACAGGAAATATATAACCTATTCATTGCAGTCCTGATAAAATGGTATCTTTGTGAAAGCAGTATTTCCAGAAGCCTTTGCTAAAGGCTGCTTTAAAGGTAGACCTAAAATGTCAGGTTTGCCCTAAACACAACACTGGGCACATTTAAGTAGCTCCCAGAGCCACTTTCTCTTGTCTCTTGGGCCTTTCCAGGTATAACAAATGAAACTTTGCCCAATTGCCACCATCTCAAGGATTCAAGTACACTTTGCATGTTTTCTCGTTGGGTTGAAGCATTCCCATGCTACAGAACCATGGTCCAGATATTAGGGAAAATAGTGCTGGAAAAAATATTTTCCACTTGGGGAATTCCTGCTAAACTTCACAGTGATGAAGGAAAACAATTACTGGTTCAATAATATAATACATTTGTAATCTTTGGCCTGTACTATTAAAAGAAGTTAGCTGCTTTGCAGGCTGTCAGTGAGGGTGGGTCTCAACTGGAATGTTGTACTGTCTGGGCTTTTTGATAAGTAATAAGTCCTGGGAACAGGGAGAGAGAGTGAGCTAACGACCCCCAAACAAAACCCCAGGTGGCACCATCCAATTAGCAAGAAGACAATGCAGAATGCTTAGCCCCAGAAATTTTCCAGTAAGTGAAACCCTTAAAAACCTAAGTCCCCTAGCGATACAGTGGCAACTCGTTCAGGAACCCTCTCCAAGAGAAAAGCTTTTGCTTCAATTCCTTTGCCAATAAAACTATCGCTAAATTTTGGGTCCCAATGTTAAATTCTTCCCATGATTGGGACAAGAACTGAACAGAACAGGCTCCTGGATGGCTTGTCCTGGATCACTGTGATATTTTCTGTGAGTTTGAAAAGACGGTCCAAAAACGCAGGTTTGGGGTGGCTAACATGTCCTTAGTCTGGCTGGACACAAACTGCACCGCTTTCTTCCACTCTTTCAGGACAGCCAGAGGAGTCTCCTAGGCTGGATGCAAGACTGCATGCTTTTACCAACCTGGGTGAGGGTCCAATTATGCCTGACACCCCAGGAACCACCCAAGCTTAAGGAGACAATGCCTGCACAGCGTCATGCTCTGAACTCCATCCCTGGTATCCTGAGGGGCTGCTGTGAAGGGGGCATGGCCCCTCTTCTCCATACTCTCTTTTCTGACTTAGATGGAAAACAAGCCATCCTCTACCTGCAGTCCTTTGGAGTGTATCCTGAGACACTGGGACTTCTTGCTCCCGAACACTGCAAAAAACAGCTTGCCTTCTGTACCAGTGCCTGGCCGCAATACAAACTTGGTGATGGGAAAACTTTGGCCCCTATCAATTACATACCATTCTCCAGCTAGACCTCTTGCCATAGTTGAGGTGAAGGGTGAAATGGTAGGGACTGAAGTGAAGGACCCGCTGCAGCTGGCTGGGGGTTGGGGGGGGGGTTGGGCGGGGTGGGTGCTGCCCTTGATCTGGGCAAGTGGCTGCCTGGACATTTGCTCCAGTGCTGAGATTATTGTATGTCTCTGCTGCTTTCCAGCTCTGTGGGGGGGACTGGGCTCTTAAAGATATCAACTACGGAGGTACTGTACTGGTCCATTTTTGGGGTAAAAATTCTATTTCCTGTATATATTCTTAGTGTTAAAAAAATCTGTTTGGAAGAAAAACTTCTGAGCTGCTTAAAATTATACAGTAAAAATATGGCTTACTGTGAGCTAAATTCCAAATCTCAGATTTCTGATAACAATGTAGAAGCAGGGCCTCCCTGGTGGTGCAGAGGTTGAGCGCTGGGTTGCAAAGCTGCCCGTGGCCTCTGCAACGCCGGTTCAATCCCCGGCTGCTCCCCGGCCACCGGAGGAGGGTCCCACATGGCGCGCAGACCTCTCCTGCCGCCCGCTGCTCCCCTCAGCAGTGTACTTCGGTCCTTCTGCCTGCTCTGCTCCCCGCTCTGGCTCTGGTGAATTCTCTCACCCTCCCGCGCTTCTGACTGTACTCAGTGCTTGTAGAAATAAATAAATAAATAAATAAATAAATAAATAAATAAATCTTTAAAAAAAATGTAGATAAAATAAGATCTCTATCTATCTCTTTTCCTGTCATCCTCATGGTCCATGAATAAAGTAGTTTTTTGTGGGTTTTTTTTCCTCCTTTTGCTGTGTGTTTTTTTTTTTGTCTTAGGAACATGCTCAGTATCAGTGAAGTAGGGAAAAAACAATGACTTTGAAAAACAAATAGGATCAAAAATGAAAGAGGAGACATTACAACAAATAGAGTAGAAATCCAGAGTGTAATAAGAGATTACTACGAACATTTATATGCAAACAAGTTCAACAATCTAGATGAGATGGACAAATTCTTAGATTATACAATCATCCAAAACTAAATAAGGAAAAAATAGAAAATCTGAACAAACCAATTGCAAGCAAGGAAATGGAAACATTTCTTTTTATATGCCACAGGCATATTTGGTAAAAACAGAACCTTGTGCTTTAATACAAAAGGACATCACCCACATTTACTTTCTTTATAATTCATTGTTATCTTTCTCCTCCATTTTTCACTTTTCTTTTTTATCATTTGTTGGAAATCATCTAAAATTTATAGAAGACTACTAACTCAAATAATTGAAGTAGTGGGTGAAAACACGAAGAAAGGAGGGAGGGGAAAGAGAGGAGCGCCTTGGAAAAGCAACTTAAAAATTATAATGGCTGCTGTGTAATATAGCTAGATTAGGCGGTGAAGTACACTGACTCTAACAATTTGCAATTTTCAAGTAATTTTATGACAAAGTGATGGTATAATATTTCACGGTAATTCTACCATTTATAATTTTGCTCCTTAATGATTCAAAGGTCTTGTGGTGGGACTGGATTTATGATAAGAGCTGAAGTGTAACTTTCTAAACAGCCTTGGTGTTTATTTTGTTTTGGGTAGGATCTAACAGAAAGGATACCTTTGTGGTCATAAAAGTGGGATAACATTCCAAAATTTGGTACATGAATTTAAAATTAGATTTATACTAGAATTAAAATAAGATTTAAAATTACTGAGGTTATATGAATAAAACAAAGTTTTAAACTTCTTTTATTTGGAACTTTAAGAACTATTCTAACGTTCAGTTATGAAGACAAGGAGTATATACCTAAAAATTTCAATACCCTAAAAATTTCATGGCTTTTAGAATACTACCTACCAGAATACCAGTTGCAGAATATCAAGACACAGATGGAATTATGAGTCAAAAAACTCAGTCAAATGAATGAATGGAAAATTGCTAAGAGTGTATTGTACTTTAAATATTGTATTTAAAGAAGACAAAATATTCCCCCACACTGTTATTATTCTAAGTAGCTTCTGTATTCTGAAGTCACTAGAGCATTAGTGTTGGAATATTTTCAGTAAAATTAAACAAGGATGACCTACCCTTGAGGGAGTTACAGTTATTACATTACAATCAGAAGTTACATTATTTTCTGAGAAGTCCTTGGAAATTTCATCTCCATGACAGAAAAAATTGAGGGGCCAGCAGGGAGGAGAAAAAGGACTGACACGGCTTATATCAATTTGTAGCAAACTGGAGTTTGTGTTTCTTTCTTTTTAAGTTTTTAAAGGGAAGATTCCTTCATAATATGAATTGAGACATTGATTTGATTTCTTGATAAGGAATATAATACAAGAGCTCAGGAAATACAAATCTACTCCTGCTTTGCCCTATTCGGAAGTATGATGCTGGACTTGTCAAGAAGTGATCATGGTCAATTTCCTTTGGAGTCAAAAAACCTTGGGGCTCTAGTATACACCATTATTGTTGTAAAGGCTTTTACACAAGAAGAATCAAAGTAAAAAGATGATTCACAACAAGGCAGATAAAATCAGAAAAAGATAACTTAATCATTCTGGTTAAAGAACTGTGTAAGTAATGACATTTGAAAAGCAAGGCTGAAAAGGCAATAAGCTTCCAATTGTTAGGGCAAAAAGCCTAAAACTCTGAGCACAGAAACTTAACTTCAGGAAGGTTCCCGAAAAAATTATGATCATATTTTGATTATTCAAACACCACCAAAAAGCAAAGCAATGAAAGCTATTCAGATACGCTTTGTATGTAGGAAAATATTTTCTAACAGAGAAAGAGAGTGATCAATGAATAGACAATTTCATGAACCATTTTTAATAAAGCTCTCTGGCACACTAGATGCAGTTTTTTTTTTTTTTTAAATATCAAGTTAGGTTATAACACCTAAGAAAGCTGAATAATATTGTTAGTGCATAAATAATTTTAGCAATACTTAATCAAACTGCCCTTAAACATGTTCAAAATGATATCTGAGATTCACAAGTGAGGCGCTGGAAACATGACTGCAAAACACTTTCAAATTTTCTCAATATAAATTATATAAGTATAGTATTTTCTACCTCCCATGATGAAAATGAGTTGTAGGTATTAATAAATCCTACAATTAAAAATATATATAGTCTTTCTAATAAAATGCTTAATAAATCAATAAACCACCAACATTTGATATGAAATATATCTTTCTTTTAAAACTCAAAAAACATATACACCTTGAATGAATACAGCAAAACTTTCAGCTGTGATTCTCTCTTCAGTCTGGTTTTCATCATCCCCCCTAACCCTCACAGACCAAGAGACCAACTAAATGCACCAGCTGGATAGGCCAGTGATTAAATGATTATTTCAGTATCTCAGGTTCAAATGATTATTTCAATTAATATTACAAAAATGCATTGAAGGTAAAAGTTACACATATGTTCTTTAATAGATAATACCTGGTCTGATCATTGTAAAACTTCTTGAAATAAACAAAGATAATTTTTAGGTTGGTGTTTGACAAAATTTTCATGAATATTTACATCACAGAACAGCCTCCCATCCCTGAATATTCTCTTGGTATGTTTTCCTAGAATAGATTCCCATTTCATAATGGGAACAGATTTTCCTAGAATAGATTCCCATTTCCTAATGTCTGTATATATTAGTAGATGGAAGTGAATTCAAATTTACTGGTGAGTTTAACTTCAAATGCAAATCCTAGTCAAAAAATGACTATTTTCTAAATGCATAATATTCATTGAAGCAATGAGAGATTTATGATTTCAAGGGTTCCTTGCACAAGGTTTGATTGTATGTTTGCCATCCAAAGTATGTAGAGTTTCAATTCACTTTCACTCAAATCAACTACTAATCTCAGATTTTTCTATAACCAGGGTACACCTTTCTGTATCTTTATATTCACTTGATTACAACATGCAACTTACAACACCTGAACTAAAGCAGGACACAAAACACAGTTCTATCCGGTAGCTACTACTTGGTTAAGGGCTAATTTCAGTTCCTGCACTCAACAATGATTTGAGTCCTCCATTTCACAGACAATTTCACAGTGACACACAAAGCCTAAGCACATTTTTAGTTAGCCTGTGCCCTGAGAAATCTGCTTCCAGAGTAAAACATGGTTCCCCCCACTTCCTCGCTGTCTAGTCACTGAAATATGCTGTTCCCATATGACAGAGAAAAATACTTCATTGGAAAAGGAATTCTTCTTTCTTGTGAAACCTAAGCCACATGTAATCATGTGTAATAACCAAGCTATCCATGAACTGCACATGAGAAAGCTTCAAAGAGCTTTTCTGAGTTTGTTTTCCAACCACGGACTCCATTCAAACTTCAGACTAATCTTGTACAGAGTCAAGATTCCACTAGGCACAGACTTTTAAGTAAATGTTTGGTAAGTGTTCCACTATAACCTTATCAACAAGCATTTTACAAACTGTGATGATTGATACCACTCATCCATGCCTGGATCTCCTCATAGAAGTGCAGAAACCTTGACAGAGAAAGTCAGTTATTTCTCTCTCTATTAACCTGCTCTTGCCGACTATTCATCTTACGTGTGATGATGACTAATATGCGCCTAATGGCTAGCAGACGCTCTTTAAGAGAAGTCATGCCAAGTATAGCCAACTGAGCCTTGCGTTCCAATGGCAACACTGCCAGGATCCACCAGGACCAAGCAGGACCACTAGGATTACTCTGCAAAACAAAGAAAAGGAAAACACAGTTATTGCTTAAAATACAAGACTGGTCTTCCATATTGTCTTTTGTTTCACCAAAGACATGGGCAAAAATTAAATGACACATTCAATTTTAGGTTCATGCAGCCCTAATGATATAGCTTACTTTTATATTACATATTTTAAAACAGAGTAACTCACAAAAGGAAGAGCATGCAAAGACTAGCCTCTTCCTTGGGGTAATTCTGTGAATCAGTTGTTTCTGTTCTCTTAAGATTTGTCGAGAGTAAATCAGAAGAAGAGACAATGATTTTTACCTCAAATTTTCAATGTTCTGCATTATATAAAGCATAATATTATAAAAGCCAAGATATGGGGCCTCCCCTGGTGGTGCAGGTGGTTAAGCGCCGCGCTGTAAAGCTGTCCGCAACCTCTGTAGTGCCGGTTCAATACTGGCCGCCCGGCAAGGATCCCACATGGTGCGGCAGACCTTTCCTGCATTGCCCACTGCTCTCCTCAGCAGTGTATTTCGTCAGTCTGCCTATTCTGCTCCCTCGCTCTGTCTCTGGTGAATCCTCTCACCCTCCCTCGCACCTGGCCTATACTCTGGTTCTTGTATAAATAAATACATAAATCTTTAAAAAAAAAAAAGCCAAGATTTGCGCAGAAGTATAATAAAATAAATCTAATAGTAAAATTAAAGTGACAGATGTGCATATATATGAAACATCTGTATGTATGAGTCAGTAACATAAAAATTATAAATTTATATATTAATATTATTATATTAGTATGCCATTGGATAGCCTTACTTCACATAACCAATAGGCACTTCTGGACTGAGCACTAAGCAAAAGTTGATCAACTCAATATTCCTGGTACTGGATCCGAGAGATCTATCTGTCTTGCATCTAGTCTACTGGATTCTCCTCCATTCCAATTCCAAAAAGTACCTAGAATCCGAACTGAGAATTAATGAGGTTTGACACTGGAGTTACCTTAGCTTAGAGGAGGTTAGAGTCTACAGAACAATTAGGCTAAAATCATTGAGGCTAAAGTGCACAGGGTTAGCCCAAGTCACTGGGAAGAAGGCAAAAGTATTGCAGAAGATTGTAAATTCTGTATGATTTACAACTCTACTTTTCCCTCCTTCTATTAGAGTTAAAAAAAAAAAAACCAAACAAACAAACTGAGTAGCATAAAAATGTTTCCCATAAACTACAGCTCTCCTTGCCTGCCTATGACTATGCAGGTGTCTTTTCATAAACCTGTCTCTTCAGGAGCAGTTCTTTCTGTCCGCTTGTGTCTAGGCAAGCATCCTTTCCCTTTTTATAACAAACCCGCCCTTTGGGATATTAAAAAAAAGTTTCCATAAACTATCTCAAATCCCTCTGTGGTAGGAAGATAAATGGTCTCCCAAAGGCATCCACACCCTAATTCTTGAAACCTCTGACTATGGTAGCCTACATAGCAAAAGAGACTTCATAAATGTGATTAAGTTAATCAATTATGCTGGCTTGCTCTGGGGAGCTCAATCTCACCACAAAGATTCTTGAAATAGAGAATTTATCAGGGCTGTGGTCAGAGGGAGATGTGACTATGGAAGAATGGTCAGAGAGATGCAAAACTGCTGACTTGGAAGACAGAGAAGCAAGAGCCAAGGAATGCCAGCTGCCTTTAGTAGCTGGTAAAGGCAAGGAAATGGAGTCTTCCTTAGAAGCTGCAGGAAGAAATGCAATGCTGTCTGCACTGTGGTCAGAGCCCAAGTGACCTGTATTGGACTTCTGCCCTCCAAAACTATAACAAATTCCTGTTGTTTTAGACTACATTTATGTGATATGTGACAGCAGGAATAAAAAGTTAATATAAATCACAATTAGAGATTGTAGTAATTAAGCAAAAAATCCTAGGGAAAAAGAGTGATTCAAACCTTAATGTGAGTTAGTTTAATCATCTTTCTGAAAATGAGTTACAATAGTGAGTAGGAAGAGGGGTTATAAGAGGGTTGGGAGGTGAGGAAGGACAGGCAATTTTTGGCTTCAAGCACTGTGTATGGAAAATACTGTACTCAAGTTGGGATAAAGATTTAAGAAAAAAGATAAAAGTGGTTGAAAAAGATAAAAAAGACATTTCATCTTGCCCTAAACCTTCTGAGCTGGTCCTGCCCTACTCCTTTTCCCCCAAAACAGGTCTGTGTTTGTACTGTAGAAGGAACTAAATATGGCCATTATAATCCTAAACCATCCTGCCTGGCTGTGTCACCCATGTACAGATGAAAGGAGTATTGCACTCAGAAATGCTTCATGAAGCTGAAGCCAATTCACTCTTTAAGGAACCAGCTTCAGCAAAAGTGTTCCTGGGAGTTCAGAGAAAGACTGTGGTCACAGGGTAGAAAGTGTAATAAAGGGCAAGAAGGAAAGCTAATTTAACAAGAGTTAGTGAATTTTATCATTTTGTATTTGGTACCCATTTAATAGGTACAAGACAATGGTATGTGTAAAACATTGGGTGTATATGCCAATACACAAAAAATTACTATTTAAATTTCTCAATGTTGCTAAAAGAAGTAAAAATACAAAGGATGAGACCTAATCAGAATAAGATAACTTGATAAAAAGGAAATTATCTTTTTGTAGTATTACGAAGAAAGCATTATTTTTTGCTCCATAAAAGGTATATACTTGAAGGTGCTTCCTCAAGTTATTAACAAGTCATTGATTCATAAGCAATCATAACAGTATATAGAGCATAGAACTGTCACATATTACAGTAGAAAATAATAGCACTATAAAAAAAAGGAGAGAGAAACTGCACCTGAGGCTCAGCTTCCCTGTCTGGCATTATCCCAAAATGACTTAAAATTTGTTCTTTCATGTGATCCTGAAGTGCAGTAAACCAGGAAATAGACTGTTGATAAACTGAATCATGAAGAGTAGTAAGTTCTTCATACTCTGGACCTTCCACCTGATCGAGGAAAAGAGTTTAACAATTCATTTAACAATTCATTATTACACATGAAATATAGTTAGTGACCTCTGCTGCATCTGCCAAGCTGATTCATGGCATTTATTACTTTGACAATTAGTGTTTTATAAATAAGATACATGCTCAATATTCAAACTGCAGGTTTTTTTTTTTTTTACATAGTGGAGATCTAGTGCTATTAATCTATCACATCCTAACTTTTATTTTAACACTGTAATATAAGCACAAATCCCATGTTAATATGAATAATTTTCAATAGCTACATGCAATCATATTTGAGATATGCCATCATTTATTCAACCATTCAAAGTATACACATGCACACACATGTAAATAACACAGTTAAATAAGTATTTACATGTTGGTCTTTCAGGGGCTTTTTTGGTTACTCCCTCAGAAGAGTTAGACATTTTAAAATTTGTATTACATATCACTGAACTATATTCCAAAATATATGTTAAAGCAACCATGCATTCATTACATTAACTTCATGCTAGTGGTGTTTGCTAACACTTCAGACTGATATGCTTTGCTTCTGAGTACTATTTTTCTGTCCAGTCACGCATTTAGAGTGTATCTCAGCCCTACTCGGGAAAACCTGGTTGAATAAGAGGCTCAACAGACAGGAGATCAGCTGGCTTTCACAGACTCTCGTGTGTGAATTTTAGCCAGCCACACCACCTCCTTAGGATAGTTTTCTCATCTACAAAGTAGGAATAAACCACTAAGGTTCTTTCTGGTTAAAAAATTTCAGAATCTATGAAAACTATGGTAAACTGACGCATTAGATTACAAAAACATAACTTTCTCTGTTTGATTTATACAAATGACATATTCATATGAGCAAAGGTTTTCTTTAAAAATACACAAATTATTTCATGTTGTAGATATTTAAACTTCCTTTTAAAAATAAGTATATATACCATTAAAAGTTGTCATCCACCACAAGAGTAAATAAACTGTCTCGATTTTATTATCAACCCAGTAGAGAGATTCTGAGTACTGTCACATTCAGTTCTCAGTACAGCCTTTTAAGCCCTGCTCCCTAGTCTAGAGAGCATGGAGCTTGACTCAGCTCTACTCTTCTGCACAGTGAGATTCTCACAGAGATGACCAGAAACAGGAGCTGGAAAAGGAAAAGGATGTCCTAGGGTGACTCTATTCACTGGTGTCACAACTATTTATCACTGTCCCTAAAATGATTTGTGATGTGATATAAGATGGCAAATGACTCAGTTTATACATAGTCAAATGTGACCAAATAACTCAAAGAAGGAATATGAGGATTTCCTCCTAAGTATTTTTAATATTATTATTGTAATATAATTTACATACCAAAAGTGTATAGATCTCAAATTACTTAGCTCAAAGAGTTGTCAACTGTACACTCTAGTGCAATCATTACCAAACTGGAAAAAGAATATTTCTATCACCTAGAGAGATTCCTCTGCTCTCTTCCAGTCAATTACAACTCCTACCCTGTGACCGCTCTTGAGTCTCTATTACCACGGATTTAATTTCCTGTTATTGGAAATACAACTGACCTTCAAAAACCACAGGTTTGAATTGAGTGGGTCCGCATTATAGGCAGATTTTCTTGTAAACAGATGACATAAACTTATAATATCAATAAATATTGCACAGTGCTAACATATGTATCTTCTCTTATGATTTTCTCAAAAATATTTTCAGTAGCCTACTTAATTGTAATAATACTGTATATAATACATATAACATATGTGTTAACTGTTTTATGTTATCAATAAGACTTCTTGTCAATCACAGGCTATCAGTAGTTAAGTTGGGGGAATCAAAGATTATACACAGATTTTCAACTGCTCAGGGACTCGGTACATCTAATCTCTGTGATGTTCAAGGGTCAACTGTATATAAATGCAGTCACAGTGTATATGTTTTATGTCTGGCTTCTCTTGCTTAGTGCTTCATGTCCACAAGATCCATGCATACTGTTTTGTACATTGTTGTTCCTTCCTTTTCACTGATAGTATTATCTCATTGCATGAATACACTACGATTTGTTTGTCCATTCACTTATTGATGAACGCCTGAGCTATTTGCAGTTTTTGACAATTAATGAATGGACATCCATGTACAAGTGTTTCTGAGAATCCCTTCAAAACATTTTGTCACTCTATCAAATTATGTGTCCTGATATCTCTATTAGACACATTTGTAATTGGAAGAGATAAGAGGTCCAAGTCTCTTAGATTTAGCTTTAGCACTATCTCATTCTGAACTAATACCAGTATTTAGAACAGTGGTTGGCTATTGGTCACAAGTCAAATCCTATTTATCACATTAATGTAAGCAGCAAAAGTGGAATGGAAGTTAACTATGCCCATTTGTTTACATATTGTCTTTGGCTGCTTTTGTGCTACAACAGCAGAGCTGAGCACGAGTCTCAGAGACATATGACCTGGAGATCCTGACGTATTTACTGTGAGGCCCTTCACAGAAAAAACTTGCCAGAACAGGGCCTCTTTGGTGGCCTATGGGTTAAGTCTCAGTGCTGTCACCACAACAGCCTGAGTTCAAGGCCTGGCCAGGGACCTAACTAACTCACATGGTGCAGCAGACCTCTCCTGTCTCGCCCACTGCTCCTCTCAGCAGTGTATTTCAGTAGATCCGCCTGTTCTGCTTCCCAATCTGTCTCTGGTGAATCCTCTCACCCTCTGCACCTCTGGCCTACAGCCCAGTTCTTCTACAAAAAAAAAAGTTTTAGAAATCTTGCCAGACCATCAAAACAAGAAGCCATGAAATCATTTTTACATGTGAAGCAGCAAGGTAATTTTGGGGGGAGAAGGAGATTTTTGTGCCAACCCTAAGTCACATAAAAATCCATTGAGATGATTAAAAAAAAAAAGTGAGTGATTAATCATTAAGGAGTAGTATTATTAAAAATATGATCAGGTTCCTACATATGCAGACCTCTAAACATAGATCAATAAAATAAATCTCACCTTCTCATCTTCAAGATATTCAATATCTGCTGTGTTATAGCCATCTCTGTGACGGTGGCTTAAAACTCTGAACCGACTAACTCCAATTGCATCAACAACTGAACTTCCATCCGGAAAAGTTCTGACATCCTTGATCTCCAGCATGCAGCCATACTCAGATATCCTGAGAGGACAGTGAGAAGAAATGACTGTGATTGTTAAATTGCAGGTCCTTGTTTATCCCTAGATGAAAGTCTGGGTCCTGAAAGAATAAAAAATACAAACAAAATACAGGTGTCTCCACACTGGACCAGTAAGAGAGACACCTGCAGAGGAGCCTCCTGTTCATGGAGGGATAGTGGTGTGCCATGGCAGCAGGGGAAAGGCTGGAAGTAAGACAACACTTTGCCTCAATGTTCAAGCAAGCTAGTACTTGGAGAAGAACCTGAAAGATGGGGAGAGACGGAATCATAAGCACATCTCCCTAGCCCCTTGACCAAGAGCACCGTCAGGCGGTCCAGAGAACACAGGGTCTGCCTGCCTGGCTCTGTGCCACTCACAGACTCTCCCTCCTCTCCATTTCTGCTGCTGCAGGTCAACTGTGCCCTACCCAATAAATTATATGGAACATTGGGTCCCCCTGTGGCGCAGCATTTGCGCACTGGGTTGCGAAGCTGCCCGCAGCCTCTGCAGCACCGGGTTCGATCCCCGGCCGCTGGGTGAGGGTCCCACATGGCGTGCAGACCTCTCCTGCCGCCTGCTGCTGCCCTCAGCAGTGTACTTCATCACTCTGCCTGTTCTGCTCTCCACTCTAGCTCTGGTGAATTCTCTCACCCTCCCACGCTTCTGACTATACCCAGTGCTTGTATAAATGAATAAATAAATCTTTAAAAAAAATTATATGGAACGTTGCTTCTAATCATTGCCTTTATCTCATTTCCTTTCACACAACAATATCCCACCATCCCACTGAAATGATCCCATCAGAAGTCACGAATAAGTTCCTAATTGCTAAAATTAGGGGACATGTTTCTATCTGGCCTCTGCTGACATGGCCAGGCTTGACCTGTCCCTAACCCAAAATCCTCTGCTGCTCTCACTCTCCTGAGCAGTTCAGCCCTTCATAGCTTTTTTCCTCCATGTGCCCCCCACACACTGGAGCCACCCAAGGAAGGATGTTGGGCTACTTGTATCCTCGCTCCAAAGATTTTCCAGATGACTTACCCACTCTCATGGTGTTAACTGTTGGCTATGTCTTGATGATACTGAGAGTGCCAACTATGCATCAAGCACCACTCAGAACAGTTCACAATATGTATCCATTCAAGTCCCACAAAAACATAGAGACTCAGGAAAATTAAACAATTTATCGAAGGTCACACTGAGATTTGAACCCTAGGGTATCTGGTTTCAAAGTAAATGAGCAACTTTATACAAACCTTCCAACAGATGATGAATGGCGCTTCCCAAGTTACATGCCTGCATGGCCAACTGCCTGCCAGATACCTCTATTTAGGTCTCTAATAAAACCATCTCTTCCTCCTAATCTAACAGGACTATCTTACCCACAGCTGTGGCATGCATGGATGTACCCTGACGATTCCCTTTAAGGGAAGAGCTTTTCCCCAGATATCTGTTGTAAGCCTCTAACTTTGGCTACAGAACCCATGTGTCCAATGAACATCTTGTCTGTGAGTATGTATAAGTTCCCTGTATGTCTGGTGGCTCCCAGGGGATCTAAGTTCTCATGCATACCCCCATGTGGACACTGGAAATTCATTTTTAAAAATTAGCTGCATTGGGCCTCCCCTGGTGGCACAGTGGTTGAGCGCTGGGCTGCGAGGCTGCCCACAGCCTCTGCGGTGCCAGTTCGTTCCCCGGCCGCCAGCGAGTGTCCCACCAAAATAAATAAATTAGCTGCATTAACCTTTCATACTTTCTCATCTCCTTCTCCTCTGCCACAGGTAAGCCAGGGCTCCTGTGTCCTCTCTCCCTAGAGTGATCTGTCCTCCCTCAGTTACCCTGAGCAACCTTCACTCTGAAAGATTTAAGAAACTTACATTTGTTGTTTAACAGCAGCACTGCTCTCTCAGTGTTATAGAAGTTCCACAGTTCTTATGCTGTGGAAGAAGTTCCACTTCCAAAATTTTTTTTCACTTTTTTTTTGCCTAATCAAATTTTAATATATTCAAATTTATTAATCTATTCTATGCTATGTGCTCTCAGCATCTTGTTTAAAAATACTTTCCCCTATTCCTAATTATAAAAAACAGTCCCTAACTTCTACTCTTAAAATGTTTAAATACATTTTCACATTTCATATTGAGAATATAAATATATTACATGCTTTCCTCACTACCCAAAAGTAGAATGTTCTTATTTGTTATGAAATGGCAGATTTTTTGTATCTGGTAACATGCAAAATTTTTTAAAATAAGGGTACTATTGTCCTAGACTCAAAAAATTACCAACCACACATATAACAAAAGGAATATTCTACTTTTGCATTGTAGGTGAAAAAACTGTAAGGTAGAGAAGATATTTTTCCCCCCATTTGAACTACCCAATAATTTTCTGGTCATCTTTTATTGAGCAATTTGTCTTTTCTTACAAAATTACATAGACATTTGGTGTGGCATGTATATGTGGATATGCTTCTTATTTCTACATTTTGTTTCAGTGGTCTACTTACTAAGGCTTCTAAATTTTTTGTAGAAATGTTCAATTTTGCTCAGCTGATAATTTTAAAATTGTCATGATCCTGATCTTTAGTTTTTCCAAAGTTATTCTCAAATCAGTTTGAGCAATTCCATGAAAAAATCCCTCTTGGGATATTGATGAAACTACTTTGGATTCATACACTAATTTGGATAAAACCAGTATTGCTTACACCGAGTCCATGTATCCAAGAACATGCTATTATTTTCTCTCTACTTATTTTTAGATCTTCTTAACAAAAAAAAAAAAAAAAGTTGTCAAAATTTCTCCAGAAAGAGCCAACACAGATCCTTCAAAATATCTGTTCCAAGGTATTTATGATAGAAACTAGTAACTGGCACCAAATAACCACTTCCCCTTCTCCCCAGACAAGTGGGTAGACTACATTTCTCAGTCACCTTTGAAGCAGGCTGAAGAGCAACTATGAATTTCCCTTTTCTCCACAGTCCTTTGGGGCCCATGTGTCTCATCCACCAGTTAGAACCTGAATATAGTGACCTCATCATGTCACGCAAAGCTAACAAAGTTTTCAAAATTAAGGGCACCAAGAGATAGTAAGGATCCTGAGTTCCAAAATAACCCACAGAGAGGAGTTGCCTGCTAATTCAGAAAATCTTTCCTAGGTAAGATATAAAACAAGAAGAGGTGAAAACAAAGTGTCATTGGTTTTTTATAAGACTAGAAACTTTCTGGTTGTATAAATAGGCAATGTTCATGGAAGATGTAACAAATATTTTTAGCTCTTAACAGATCAGATTATGTGTATACGGATAAGCTAGACATGAATTATTGGTATCTGAGCAAGTAGAAGGAAGCATAGAGGTCTGAAAATATGAGCTGTATTTAGTAATATAGCAAATAATGTGGACTAGTAGGTATGATATTTGAAGGGAAAAAGAGAGGTTAAAGCAGAAAGAAGCCAGGGATCACATCATGGGTGGCCCTGAGTATATACTTTGTTATAGAATGGGAGCCACTGCAGATTTTTTACATAATTCTAAATTGTTCTTTTACAATAATGACAAATTATGCATTTAATTAGTACTATTTGAAAGCTGATAAGTCTTACCCTGCATGCTCAGCAGATAAACACATGCCAAACCGTTTGGTGCCAGTTTCCATGCATCTTCTTATCATAAGCCGATAGCGGGGCTCAAAAACGTGGAGTGGACAAGGGACAGTGGGAAAGGCCATAGCACACACAAAGATGGGCACATCTCTGGTAAGACTGTAGAGTAAGGGAAAATGTTAACTTAGAGTAGGAACTTTCTGAAACAGAAGGGAGTTATAGTTAATGTAAAAGCGCAAAAGTGAGTCAGTCTCAACTTCGCTATTTACAAATAAAACCTTCAGGCCTGCCTCAGTTTTAAGTGACCAAAACAAGTCAAGGATCATAGCATGAGAAAGTTCTCAGTTCCCCCTAAATTTCCTGGCAAGCCCATCATATTTAATTATGAGAAGTTTTCTAGAGATAGAAAGTGAAACCAAGACATCCGCAAACCTCTCCAAGTTTAACTTAAAAAGCAATCATATAACCCACATATGTATCTCACCAGCTTAGCATAAGCATTGCTGAACTAACTCGTGCATCTTTCTTCCAAAGGAAGGTGCTATTACTCAATAATATTTTGGAGAGGAGCTTTGGACACAGTGGTAGCCATTCTTGATAGACAGATAAACTTGAGGAGGGTATATGGTCTGGTGGATCCAGCCTGGCACAAATCATCTCCTCAGTGAGTATTAAATAATATATTGCTACCTGACTGAGCCCTGGGGCAGATCAATCAGCCCCAAAGCATGCTACAGTTATAGTGTAAGACACAGCAGAACACCATCCAGTCATCCCTTTCTCCTGAGGCTGGAGAGAAATCTTCTGTGAATTTTGGATTCCATTACACCAAGAGAGGGAACTGGGAAGCAGGCTCCAGGCACAGGGAGAGAAACATTGGTAGAGAATTCCCAGTCCTATATCCCCTCCCAATCCTCCCATGCCAAGACTGTGAGCACTTACTCTGAGTTCCCAATCTCCCATACTCCCACCTCCCACCATCTACACAAAAAAGAAGGATCCCAAAACAAAAGCCACACAACGACCCACTGTGGAGAAAAGAGGACACAGAAAGGTGCAACCCAAGGATGCAACATAGAAAAAGATAAAAGAGCTAAATTGACTTGGGTTGGAAGAGCAAACAGAGACTCCAAAAAAGCAATCATAAATACTCTCAAAGAAGTTTCAGGCTCTTAATTAAATACAGAAAGGCAGGTTTAGGGCATCAGAAAATTTATAAAGAACTCATACAACTCAACAACAACAACAAAAAAGCTATATCAAAATTTGGGCAGGGTCGTAGAGATTTTTCCAAAGGAAATATACAGGTGGTCTACAGGCACATAGAAAAATTCTCAACATCACTTATTATAACAGAAATGCAAATCAAAACCAGTAGGATCTTACCTCATCCCTGTGAGAATGAGCTATACCAAAAAGAATGGAAACAACAAATGCTATCAAAGAGGTGGCAAATGGAACACTCCATTTCCAATGGTGCAGCCCTCTAATTTGGTGCAGCCTCTATCAAAAATGGTAAAGTGAGCACTCAAAAAAATAAAAATGGGAATACCACATGATCCAGCAACACCACTCCTAGGTATTTAACCAAATGATATGAAAACATAATTTCTCTGCCAAGAAAAATGAAATCAGAAACAAAGTTATGAGGTTAACAAGGATTTTCATTTTTTTATTTAAAGATCATACATACACAGCATGAGGACTTACTGTGACAGTTCTGTCATTTCTTCGTCATAAATTCTCTTCCTATCAGACAACTCATCTGACAAATATCGAAATATTAACTCTTCAGCCAGAATAGTTACTTTAAAATTTCTGCTGGCCAACAACTGTAATGAAAGAAAATGCTAATTAATTCTAAAGGACACAACACTCTCTTCCCAGGCTGGAAGGCCAACAAGGAGGTAGGGCAGAAGTCTCTGAGAAGACGAAAAGGATGGGAACAGGGGTCCTCCCTGGTGGCACAGGGGTTAAAGTCTCAGCGCTGTCAAGCTATCACCATCCATTGTGGCATGAGTTCCATCCCAGGTCAGGGAGCTGACCCAAGTGGTGCAACAGACCTCTCCTGACTCTCCCACTGCTCCCCACAGCAGTGTATTTCAGTAGATCCACCTGTTCTGCTCCCCACTCTGTCTCTGGTGAATCCTTTCACCCCCCACACCTCTGGCCTGTACCCCAGTTCTTGTATGCATAAATAGATAAAAATAAATGTTTAAAAACAAAAGGATGGGGATGGAGAGCAGAAAGGTCAGCCCCCGAGACCTATGTTTGACTGGAAAACTTTAACAAATGGTAGTTAAAGGCAAAGCCAACCAGGAAATGAACATATACAGAGGATGAGACAAGGCATCAAACTCTCTTGTTTCACAAAATATACTTACTTCTGAAAGTTTTTCTTTGCACAATGGACAATGTGGAGCATGGTCAAGGCAGCGCTCAAGGCATTTTAGGCAAAATGTGTGCCCACATGGTGTGGTGACAGGTTCAAAGAGCAACCTGGAAAAAATATCTAAATTTTTAGCAAGAAATGTCCACAGAGACTTTCACATAATCTATTTTTATGAGAATTCTTTAGGCAACTCCCTTACTGTCTAAAAGTCACATATACATTTTTAATTAAATCTTCCTTATCAAATTTTTAAAAAATGAATAAATTATTGCTGAAGTAAATTTAGTTGCTATGATGATAAAAATCCCATTATATTTAGAATACAACACTCAACAGGCTAAACTTTCAAAGAGCTGCAAGATACTATGTCATCCTACCTCATGCAAAGGGCACACTCAAAGTCAGCTACATCTATCGAGAGATCCGGATTTTCTCCTATGTTAGAGTTCATGCTCCTTTGAGGTGAAGAATCTGCCTCTGAAAAAATTAAAAATTTAAAATGCTGTAATGAACACTCAATAGGAATAACAGCATGCAATAACTGCATTTCCTCTGGATAAAACATGTTACACCAATGCTGAATAGAAACAGTCCCTATCCAATTAACAATATACAGCAATCATTTATCAGGACAGTAAGCATGAATAAAAGTTAAAATTATATATAAATTTTCTCTGCTATTTTTGACTACTAAATCTTTCCAGGATTAACCATGTAAACTGTCCTATAATATTAGAGTTGATCAATTCATTTCATTATTAATTTTGAACTACCTGCAAAATTTTCTACAAATATATTGAATATTAGGTAACATACTCTCATTCAGAAGTCACACAATCCCATGACAAAATATCTTACTGACCTGTCTTGGGGATTTTTCCAGGGGTGTTTGAATCATGCAAACCCTCCATATCTTTTGGAAAGTGTCTCTTTAAACCAGCGATGGGTGCTGTCGGAAGGAAGCTTTCTAACACCTCTTTATCTTCTTCATAGTGTAGACCCAGGATGAAATATAAAACTGAAGAATGTGTATTCCTACATACATCAGATTTCTCAGGTGGATTCTAGTCAAGTAAGAAAAAAAAAGATACTGATTATTAAAGAAATCACAGCATACGGGAAATAAATCATGTAGTAGTCTATCTTAGAAATCTTTGGGAAAAGGAAGGATTATAACCTTCCTTCCTAACTGGTTTCATGTATTAACTTAAGATGAACTTTATACCTTTCAAGATAAAATACAGGATAATTTCTCCCTGAAACAAATCATTTCTACAGCAATCTTCTTATACTCAAACCATTCTCTGCTTTCTCCAAACCAAAATAATTTCAAGTCTCTTGATGTTTTGTATTTGGAGAGGTTCCAAAACTGTCTTTCACTTTTCAATCATTTTTACCACTGCCACCAATTTTTAAGTTCCATCTCTCAGCTTGAGGTGCTAGAACTGGTCTTGAGAAGTACTTTTAACTAGTCTAATGCCACACTGTCAGAATAACCTGCAGAATATTCAGAATGAAGGAATTACATACAGCTGAATCCAAATACTGACAAAAGCATATACTTCATACCTTAGAACTCCCTGCATTATCACCTTCTTCCAGAGGAGGCTGGGTGTTTATATGACTGTGACACTGAGCCTTTAGTCTGGCGTTCAACATTCTACTTTGGATGGAAGACATTAAATTTTGATGCACATTTTCTGAAGCTGGAAAAAATACCTCACATATTACCTATAAAATTGTCAAGAAGAAAAATAATTTAAAATACTTTTGAAAAAATATTTTATATGCCTTAAAGAGTCAGAAGAAACCATGAGATCAGTAGGATGAAACATTTTAAAAGAATAAACTATCTTCCAACAGTCAATACTTTAAAATTCAAACATTTCTGAAACCGGTCAATGTTTTGAGCATTTTAGCTCTAAATCCCTTTCCATCTAGACTCACCAATCATAAAATATGAGCATTATAATTTCCTTCCTGCTTAGTTCTGAAATATTTCCTACAGAAAATGTCCCCTACAAGTCTCATGGATAAGAGAAAAGTGAGGTGTAGAAGTTACAGAGAGTATCAGATTACATCTAAACTGAGATCACCCACAGGACTGAAATATTTCTAGAGGACTGCTTTATTTATAACAACATAACTATACAGCCACCCAGTAAAGAATACTGAAGGAAGATAAGGTGAGAAGCTATTACTCAGAGTTAAGAGTCATGGACCAGTTTTGGTGGGGTGTGACTGTTAGTCAGGCATTCTATCACTCAATAGTCTTAACCAAACCTCAACTGAACCCAATGGCATAAAGGAGGAAAAAAAGAAGTGACTTAAATCTAATCAAAGACTACCCACCTGTTCTAATTTTATTGAAGTAATGTTGACTTACATCACTGCATGTATTTTAGAAGTACAGGCTCACTCCCGCCTTCCCCATACTCTTTCAGGTGTTGTTACCATAATATGCACATAGTCCACCACCTTCCACCTGTTCTTTAGGTGACATGTACATACACCAGAACATATGGCCTCTACCATAATGAGCAGCAATAGGGAGAGCAGTGTCCTGGCTCTGAGGAACTTCAAACAGAGCTGCTGGAGGCTGCCAGAAAGGGTACCAAATTTCAGGGGTATCAACAGGGACTGTTCTGGCACTGTCTGTGAAAGAAGATAACTATCACCTATAGAATGCCAGAGGGAAAAAACATCATGTGTGAAAAAGCACCAGACAAAAAATTCACAAGACCTTTGTGAAGTCAGCCTGAATATCTCATGATGCTGTTGTAAGGATCAGTTGAGATAAGGTATGTTTTAAGATTCTTGTGAAATTTACAGGTGGGACAAAGCAGGAAGGAACAGTTAAAAAAAAATGCTAGATTTTTCAGTTTTAGTTTGATAAGGTGAAATAATGGCAAAAACCAGTGTGACAATATAACAATATTAATAAAGATCAATCAAGTACAAAAGGATTCAAAAATACTGTTAGAAGGCACTCATTAAAAACAAAACAAAACAAACAAACACCGGGCCTCCCTGGTGGCACAAGGGGTTAAGCACCACACTATGAAGCAATAGCAGCCTCTGTAGCACAAGTTCGATCCGCAGCCAGGGAGCAACCCACATGGTGAGGCAGACCTGTTCTGTCTCGCCCGCTGCTCCCCGCAGCAGTATATTTCAGTCAGTCGGCCTGTTCGGTTCCCTACTCTGTCTATGGTGAATCCTCTCACCCACCCCCACCACTGTGCCTCTGACCTGTACCCCAGATCTTGCATGCATAAATAAATAAAATAAATCTTAAAAAAAAAAAAAGAAAAAAAGAAACACCTAGGTGTTTTGGCTAACTAGAGTTCTAAAGGAGCCAGCAGTGTGATGGTATTAGGCTAAAAATAAACACAGACATATCATGATGTGAATACAAGGAAAGTTAAAGTCCCCATCTGCAGCTGCTGGATGTGGATGTTGGAGCCTGGGAGCACACTAGAAAGACCCCAGGAGGGAAACCTCACAAAAGGACAGTTGGCTCAAAAAATGACTCAAGGCAAGAATAATAGTTGTTCTCAATTTTCTAAAGTGTTTTAAAATGAAGAACTGATCTCCAGAAAATAAAACTAGATCTGTTTACCAGAAATTTCAGGGTTAGTGTATTGTAGAAGTGGGCAATAATCTTAAAATTGGGAAACGCACAAAATCAAGATCTCGTGGTCATTGGAGGTGCTAAGAGAGTGTAACTAGCCCATGGGCTTTTTTAAGGGGTAGATGCTTACATTAAGTGTGACTCAATGATCTCTAAGAAGACCAGGTTAAAGTTATGCATAAAAAGCAGATATTACTGTATCATGTTGGCAAAACTTTGCTGAAATTTTCAAGTTAACCTACGTAGCTAAATTGATATATATTGCATATATCACAACATCTTTTGTAGGTCTCCTACACAAACTACAGTACTTGAAATTATAAAATTTAGGGGAAAACACTGCCTCCCCACATATATCACCTTTCCTTTCACTTAATATGTATATTGCTGGGCTTCCCCAGTGGTGCAGCAAGTTGAGTACAGCACTGTGAAGCTGTCCACAGCCTCTGCAGCTCAGGTTCGATTTCCAGGTGGCCAGGGAGAATCCCACATGGCTCAGCAGACCTCTCCTGTCGTGCCCGCTGCTCCCCTCAGCAGTGTTTTTGGTCCTTCTGCCTGTACTGCTCCCCTCTCTATCTTTGGTGAATCCTCTCACTCTCTCACGCCTATGGCCTGTACCCCAGCTATTGTATAAATAAATAAATCTTTAAAAAATTTTTAAAAATATGTCTATTGCCAAAGAAGTGAGATGTGCATATAATGTTTTATACTGTTTCATAAAACATTCTGCTTTATCCATGGAAGAAAAGTTATCAAATGCATGAACCTTATCATTACAATTGTATGTTTTAGTTACATTGTCATGAATGTTCAGAATTAGACTTCTTATTTACTGTGCATGCAGGAATTATTCAGCATGGACAGAAAGGCTGCAAATAAGACTTAAAGAAGAAACTCATTGAAAGGAAATCACACCTTCTGTACTTCTTTCTTCATTGAGTTACACTCAGGATTTAGAGCAAGGCAATAGAGAAATTCCTTCAACACTTCCTTACTTCTTCCCAATCCAGAAAGAGCCTGGGCTTTCACATGATGTCCCTGGGTTCATCAAAACACAAGGTATATATTTAAGAAAAAAAAAGAGCATGATTACATGCTCACAAATAAACAACCCTGAATGGATCATTAGAATAATTTGTTTTATTTTCATATTAAGAAGAATGAACAAAAAACCACTGAGGGTGACACTAGCTCTACTATTTTGGAAATTGAGCAAATCTGAATGTCTCTTAAGTACAATCTACACTCAGAATAGAGGAGTCACCATATCTGGAATTTGAGCCCAGAACCATTTCAAGGGCACATTAAGAGAACAGACTGCCTACCAACTTTAAATTCACTCAATTATCACTGGTCATTACCATGATACCACTCCTATCTTCTGGGAGTGTTTCCTGTTTTTCAATATAACTTGGATATTAACCCTGTAAGTTGTATTTTGTGTGGATATTTTCTCCCATCCAGTAGGATGTCTTTTAAATCTTCTTGTATTTTATTTCACTTGTTGAAAGCTTTTTAACTCGAGATAATCCCAACTGCTTATTTTTATTTTTATTTCCGTTGCCACGGGGGTTAAATCTCCAAGAGCATCTTTATCACTGATGTAATAGAGCATATCACCAACAATGTCTTTGATGTATATAGAAGGCTTTATATCTATGCAGGCTTAGTATCTAAATCTTAAATCTATTTGGAATTAATTTTTTTAGTACAGAATTAGAAAGGGATCCAATTTCATTCCTTCATGTGACCTTTTCCAGTTTTCCCAGCACTATTTATAGTAAAGGGACTGTCCTTTTCCAATTGTCAAGGCTACTTTATGGTAGATTAGGTAATGACATGTGCATGGAATTATTTCTGGGCTTTCTGTTCTGTTCCATTGTTCCATGTTATCTATTTTTGTGCCAATGTGACATTGTTTTTAGTACCATTGCTTTACAATAGAGTTTGAAGTCAGGTAACATGAAGCCTCATTTTTCTCCTTTTTTCTCGGGGTTGCCTTTGCTGTTTGAAGCCTTTTGTGTCCATACTAATTTCAGCCAATTTTTGTTCAATTTCTTTGAAAAATATTGTTAGTATTTTGATGGGGTTTGTGCAAAGTTTACTTATCATTTTAGGTAGAAAAGACATTTTGATTATATTGATTATCCCCATCCAGGAGCACAGAATGTCTTTCCATCTCCTTGAAGGAGTCTAACTCTTCATTGCATAAGTCCTTACCCTCCTTAGTTAGGGTAATTCAAGGTATTTAATTCTTTTGTGAAGCAATTATAAATGCACTTATTTTCTTCTTACTTGGGTGTATATAAAAAGGCTACAGAATTTTGTATTTCAATTTTGTAACCTGCTACTTTGTTATATTCATGTATTAGCTTTAACAGTGTTTTGGTGATATGTGGATAAAAATGGGAATATGATCCAGCAATACCATTCTTACGTGTTTACCCAAATAATATGAAAACACTAATACTAAAAGACTTAAGCACCTCTATGTTCATAGGAGCATCATTCCACAAAATGGAATCAACCTAAATGCCTAGTGACAAGCAACTGGGTAAAGAAATTGTATATTTACCCAGTGGAATACCGCTCAGTTATTAAAAAGATGAAATAGTGTCTTTTGGAACAAAATGTATGGATCTTGAGGTGATAATTCTAAGTAAAATAAGTCAGAAAGTGAAAGACTGGATTGTTTCACTCATTTGTGGGACTTTAATCAAAGAAAAAAAAAAATGACCAAAAAAAAACCTTCTTAGGCTCTGTAAAAATTAGCCTGGTTATGGGCCTCCCCTGGTGGTGCAGCAGTTGAGCACTGGGCTGCGAAGCTGCCTGCACCCTCTGCAGCGCCAGTTCTATTCCCAGCCACCGGCGAGGATCCCACATGGCACGCAGACCTCTCCTGCCATGCCCGCTGCTCCCCTCAGCAGTGTATTTCGTCATTCTGCCTGTTCTGTTCCCCGCTCTGGCGAATTCTCTCACCCTCTTGCGCTTCTGACTGTACCCAGTGCTTGCATAAATAAATAAATAAATAAATCTTAAAAAAAAAAAAAAAAAAAAAAAAAAGCCTGGTTACCAGAGGGGTAAGGGAAGGTGATAGAGCATTGGCATTTGAGTTTCGGTGCAAGTGAAGGATGTGCACATATGGAAGTATAAGCTGTACTCCCCAAATTATATAGTCATATACATGATTGGCAAATCAATAAAATTTAAGGGGTAAAACAGAACTGCAGCCCACAGATTTTACAATAAACCTTGATGATAAAACCAAAATTCTAAATGCTCAATGTTTTTCTGTTGCCTCTCTTACAATTACAATTAGCCATGTATCTTTATAGTAATTAAGTCTGCATTTTGTCAGAAACATGCTGCCAAGTTTTTAGCTAAAAAGTCAATAGTATGGAAAAGAATCTAGCTTCAGAGGGTAAAGTAGGTCTACTTTCATTTAGAAATACTAGACAATTTAACAATCAAGGTTCAATCATTATCTCAGAAGAATAACAGCTGGGATGGGAGAAAAGGCATTGGAAATAGGAATAGAAAATGTTTTCAGTGAAGCAAACAATTAACAAAATAGATTTGGGGGCTTGGCTCAACAAACATTTGTTTCCCCATTCCAATTTTATATTCAATCTAATTGGAAAACATTTTGTTGTAAAGCATTTAAGGAAAGACTACACCCACCTTGCTATTAACCAGTGTTAGTGCCTATTCAACATTTCTTAAAAAGTAATGATAAAAAGTAATATAGCAGGTGAAAAAAATTTTTAATTATTAGCTGATAGAGCATGCTATAGTGTTAATTTCATTATGAGTCAAGGACAGTTTAAGCTATCATTATTAGATAAGCAAACTTTCTTTATGTCATCAAAGGAAGAAACAGAGAGACACATAGACTAAAATTATTCCAAAATATATATACAAAATGTTCACTGTTTATTAACACCATTATATACTCCATATAATTGTCTTGAGGACCAATCACTACTCATTATTATTACATGACCTTCCTTTTCACACTGTAATTTTAATCATTTCCTATTCACTCTCAAATTTGTAGAATTCTATTATGTATAATATTATATATTATTTTGCTTATATATGTTTAGTGTATAAGGCATATTATTCAGTCAAATATCTACTAAGAGTAATCTATATTAGTGTTTATCTAGATTCAATTACGAGATTTCCTTTTTTAAATTGAAGTGTTTTTTTTTATGAAAGCAATTACTACCCTTGAACTGCTCTAATTTGAAGGAAATGTACACTTGTTATCTAGTCACATTTTTTTTACTTTTCTTAAGAAAATTCCATAAACTTAGCAACTTTATGATCTCCAAAGCTACCAATACAATACCTTAATCAAGAAAGGTTCATTATGGCAAACTGCATTGGCATCCTGCAAAGCCTGCTCATAGTTCTTCATGGTTAAATGTAACTCTGCTCGTAGCAGCAATAATGAATTATCACCAGGAGCTGAAAGACAAGAAGAATTAAAACAAATAAAAAGGACTGCACTTAAAAACAAAACAAATCATCTTTAGTTATTAAAAATATTAAACTAGAAAATAAACGGGCAAAAAAGGGGAAAAATTTCTTCCCTCCAATTGTAAGTTTCCCTCCAAGTTTAATAGCTGGATGAATGTATTTTACAATGCTTCTCTCAGGAAAATAAAAGAATTAACAAAACTTCATAATGCACCAAGAAAAAGAGCACACTAGCTACAAATATAATATCTAACAGTAAAGAGTCAATGCCTAATCATCTTAAAGCTATAAATATTTTAAAATATTTAAAATCATTTTCTAGAAATACGTAAGGAAATTCATGCTGAAAAAAACTAAGATAATTAACATAAAGTAATATAACTTTACAAGTATGTGGATGTGGATTTATCATTATAATTATACCTATAGTGTGTTCTCATAAGTAGGAATGGGAGGAATAAAACACCTTCCTTTTCCTTATGAGTCCTCAAACAGAAGTGACCCCTGTGTAAGCCTACCTACACAGAAGCCAAGAGTGACTCTCTCTATGAACTGATGTGTAGTATATGAAGTCTGACCTGGCAGGGTACCACAGAAAAGGGACTAAACCAAGAGTTCACGAAAGCAGATCATCCAACCATTTTTCATGTCGGACCAGTCTTCCTCTGCCTATACTCATTGCGGGATTTTTAAAGTTGGACAACAGTGCGTACCTTAGTTGATAAATATTGAGCACCTAAGATGTGTCCTCTGATAAGTCTTTTCAGTTTGCTTGAAGTCCTTGATCTTTCCTTTCTCAAACTAACCACTTAGTTTTTTCCAAATTCTACTACATCTCTCAGTTTATACAGGTTAACTGAGCAAGTGCATAAAGAGTTCATGCAAAAAGACAAGGTGAACAGTACTACTTATGTGTTCTTGCTACATGCTAGACAGAAAGGGAAAAAAAACGGAGAAAATAGCAAGTATGGAGAGTCAAATCATAAAGGTTGAATCTTTTAAAGACATTAACTGGGGCCTCCCCGGTGGCGCAGCGGTTGAGCGCTGGGTTGCGAAGCTGCCCGCAGCCTCTGCAGCGCCGGTTCAATCCCCGGCTGCTCCCCGGCCACCGGAGGAGGGTCCCACATGGCGCGCAGACCTCTCCTGCCGCCCGCTGCTCCCCTCAGCAGTGTACTTCAGTCCTTCTGCCTGCTCTGCTCCCCGCTCTGGCTCTGGTGAATTCTCTCACCCTCCCGCGCTTCTGACTGTGCCCAGTGCATGTATAAACAAAACAAACAAACAAATAATAAATAAATAAAACATGCCTCTATAAAAAAAAAAAAAAAAAAAAAAAAAAAAAAAAATAAAGACATTAACTGGTTAGACCCATATAAGCAATTTTTTTTTCTATAAAAGATCAAATAGTAAATACTTTAGGCTCTGTAACCCATAAGTCAAGCTGGAGGGTTCTGGGCATGTACTTATACAAGACAGAAAGAAATAAATTTTTTCAAAATTTCTATTAAATTAAAAATGTAGTATTTTTTGCAATATAGGTCTACTAATGAATTGGAATTCTTGTAGGAGGGGATAACATTTTCCTTATTATTCAGTGTTCCCTATTGTCAAAATCAACTGAAAATGTTAACCTTTGATTATGATCTATAATGACATATTTACATATTTGAAAATGAATATGAAATATGAAATATATGAAATACCGATGGCAATCCAATGGTGATAGTGGACATTTTTCACATGTTCTTCAATTTAAAAAACAAGTTTCTAATATTTTAACATGAAGTACTTAGTACTAAGTACTAATATTTTAACATCAAGTGCTTCCTTTGTGTTTAATTTACTTTTCTTCCACTGGTCTCTTAAAATGGGAGCCTGTAGATCACCAATTTTCGATTGTTCTTTTGCATTATAGACCTTTAAGGCAACAAATTTCCATTTATGGACTATTGCAGTGGCATCCCATAGTTCGTAATGATTTATTTTCAGTGAGTTAAAATATTTTCTAATTTTTATTATGATCTCTTATTTGATCCATAAGTTATTTTAAAATGTATTTCTTAATTTTCAAGTATGGAAAATATTCTAGTTATTTGCTACCAAATTTTAGTTTGTCTACACTGTTCAAAGGACATACACTGCCTGATTTCAATCTAATGTTTATTATAAATTGTTTATGACCTAATGTAAACATAACCTCATACCCAATGCAGTCCACTGCTGATGATCACACAAACCTGAATAAATGGCAGTAATTGTATGTAGCGCTACATGCTAATTAAAATACTGAGATATTATTCCATTCTGTATCCTCACTTATTATTGCCACTTTATTTTATCCTTCATTATGAGTTGTTGTTTTTAAAAATCTCTCTCCCTTTCATTTTGTCACCTTGTGTGCACGTGTTTGTGTGTGTACACCTGTTTTTAGGGGCATACATCCACATTCTCTCAGTGCACACATGCATATACCCCTTAAATTGCTTGGCCAAAGGCCATACTTAACATTTCTGGATAACACTAAACAATTTTGCAGATGTATAATTTACAGACCCATCATAGCATATGAGAGTTCTCATTTCTACATCTCCTAAAGTTTACAATGTGATCTCTTACATTTCCAGTTATACTTTTCTAAAGTTCCATACGTGTACTAAGACAGTAGCCACTAGCCACATGTGGCTATGGGGAACATGAAATGGGAGTAGTGCAACAAAGGAACTGAGTTATTAATTTCACTTAATTTAATAGAAATTTAAGTTTAAAAAATTGATACTCTTCAGTTACTACAAAAATTTTAATTAAGTAACTCTACTTTTTCAACCCTAAAATACATGTAATCCAAATATAGAGGAAGTATTCCGATGGAAATTTAGTTTTCTAATTGGGGTAGGCAGTAAACGAGAAATACTTACTGGATTTTTTTAATTGAAGATATACTGAAACAATATTTTATGTGAGGTGTAAATATATTGTTAAAATAAATTTCACCTTATTCTTCTCCCTTTTTTAATGTAGCTATCAAACATTTTTAAATTACCTACGTCACTTAAACAGTATTTTTACTGGACAATGCTACATCACATATACATAAATAAAATAGTTGAAAATTCGAAAATACACAGCCTGTTAAAGCATGGGTATGTTGGTTACAAAAATGGCCTAGAATATTTAGCAATTTGGCTGCTCCATTTCCAAAGAGATTCCCTAAGCTTGAAAAAAAATGCCTACTGACTATAGCACACAAGATGATTCTTTAAGTAACAAAAAATTAAATCGCTGACTTAAATCTATATATATCCTGTTTCAAAGCCACACACACTTCTGCAGTCATTTGATTTTTTTTTAAAAGATTTATTTATGCATACAAGAACTGAGGTGTAAGCCAGAGGTGGGGGGAATGATAGGAGTCACCAGAGAGAGTGGGGAGCAGAACAGAGAGATCTATTGAAATACACTGCTGAAGGGAGCAGTGGGCTAGTCAGGAGAGGTCCGCTGCGCCATGTGGGTAGTTCCCCAGCCACTCATGCCCGCATATCTGGCGATAGCTTGATGGAGCTCTCTTTAACCCCTGCATCACTAGGGAGGCCCCCCCATTTGATCTTTCTTTTAATTACATATTCTTAACAGGTGATGCTTGCAAGGGGCTGCAAAGAGATAGCCTGCTGCTGGTCACAGACCTTACTAAAAAACAATAAAAAACCCGCATGCCCTAGTTACTGTAACTATCTAATAAGTTAATTACACGCTAATAATATCTAGTGGCCTTTGAGAAAGAACAATCAGACATCATGACAGAATAAGCAGAGGGGAGAGGTAATTCCTTCCTGGATTCACCAACTGAAAAAAAAAAAAAAAAGCAAATTGTGTCCCATTAGAAAGCACTCCATTCTGTGCATCCACATTCAGGGTTTTAAATTATTCGCATTTCCTGCAGAACAAGTAAAAACTCTTGTCACCCTCCACTCCTAAACTGCTAATCAAGCAGTCTTCGCCTTACAGGAATGCTCGGGAAGGTTTCGGAAGCCCTAGCAGAGAGCCCACCAGAGGCTCCTGGCCTCTGACACCAGCCACCCTGATGTCATCTTAACACCTGAGGGCAATAGAACTCCGAAGGCCGAACAAAGCTCCCTACTCCCTGCCGTGCTGCTCCACAGGTGCGCGGGTAGGCCCGGGCAACTTACCCAGCTCCAGGGCCTGGTCGCACCTGAGCAGCGCGGCCTCGAGCTGTTGCTGGCGCTGCAGACTCCGCGCCTGGCCGGCCAGCCTGCGCACGCGGCACTCGGCGGGGAAGCACTTCTCCAGCAGGCCGCTCAGCACCACATTGACCCGCCGCGCTTGAGGCCGCGGCGGCCCGGGCTCCACGCAGCGCTTGCACACCGTGAGCCCGCAGGGCAGCGTCACCGGCCTGTGCAGCAGGCGCTGGCAGCGCGGGCAGCCGAGCAAGTCCCGCGGCGCAGCGGCCGCCGAGGCCCGCTGCTCCTCGCTGGGCGCCTCGGAGGCGCGGCCCGGCATTGCGGCCGGCAGTCGCCACTGGCGCTGGCCGAGGACGCGCGCGAGGCCGCCCGCCAGCTCCCCCAGCTCCTCGGGCCGCAGCGCCCCGAGCCGCGCGGCGCCACGGAACGCACCCAGCGCCTCGGGGAGACGGCCCGCGCGGGCCAGCGCGTCCCCCAGCCGCAGGCACAGGCCGCGGTCAGGCTGCGCCAGCCCGGCCAGCATGGAGCGGAAGAGCTCCGCTGCCATCTCGTACTCGCCCGCGCGGAAGGCCTCGGCTCCCTTCTCCAAGCGCTGCGCGAAGGGCGCCCCGCAGTCGCAGCCGGGACACTGGGGCGGCGGCGGCGGGACCGGCTTGGGGCTCATCACCGCGGGGCTGCGGCGCTGTGGACCTGCAGGGAAGAGCGCAGAGAGGCTGCCTCGCTGCTCGCGGCCGGGCGTGCAGTGGCGGCCGCCGCCTTCCCCGAGCGCCACGCGCGTCTGGGGGCGGCGCGCACGGAGCCCCGGTGACCACGGTCCGGCGGACGGGGGCGGCGGCCCCGGTCCCCGCGAGGCGTGGGCGGGCGCGCCGGGAGAGGGCAGCGACCCCACCCGAGGGGGCAGGCACCGCGCGGCCCGAGCCCCGCCCACGCGCAGGCCCCTTCTCGCCCCACTTGCTTCGGGAACCCCAGGGGCTGCGGGAACCGCGACCCTCTTGGCGCCCGCGTCTCCTGCCAGCCCGCCCCACCCGCCGGCGGCGGCCCCGCGCGTGTGCGTGCGCGCTCGTCGGCTCGCGCCCCTCTCCCCTCTCCCGCGCGAGCTCTCCGTGCCCGAGGGCGCCGCGCGCCGGCCTAGTCCACGAGGCCGCGCCTCGAACAGGTGTGCGCAGCTGGCCGGGCGCCCGCCTCGCCGGCACCGCGCACCAGCCTTCCCCCGGGCCTGGCCGCCTGCACCCCCTGAGACTGTGGTTGAAAAGAAAGCTGGGGAGTTAATAAGTGCATCGCCGTACCCCAGCTTTGACTTAGGAGATTGTCTTAAATGCCTGGGAAGCCAGGAGTGGGCACTGAACCACCTCACAGCAAGCTCCTCTTGTTGGAACTCCAAATTTTAGACAGATATTTTGCACTCATCATTAAGACAGATTTTAACTGAATACCAGACTAGGTTTGGGGGAGAAGAGGGATTTGAGAAACGGATAATTGTATTGTGTTCTTGATTAGGAAGCAGAAATAGAATTTTTAAAAAACTGCTAATGTGGAATACTGCAGACAAGTTCTGGAAAGAGAAAGTTAAAAGTCACATTGGCGTAGGATTAAATGTGTTCTTTCTGTGCTTATAAACTCGGTTTTAAATTTTCTCCTCATTTCACATAGTCTGCTTTTCTCTCCCTTTTGTTTCATTATGCTTTGTGTATTTGGAATCAATAAAATGGGGTGCGGTATTCCAGAATCCATGCTGTTCTTTATTTCAAGTCAACCTTTCTTCTGAATTTCAGCTTTGTGTTTGCTTTTCTTTTACATATCAAACTGGCTAAAGAAAATGTGCAGTACCTCGATAAAATAAGGCTTTGGCAAAGGGAAATGTCTCATTAAATGAAGGGAAAAAATTTTAGACCATTTCACAATATAGAAACGGAGACAACTTTGGACAGCTCTCTAGTCCTCCCAGCACCCACTGTTTTCATCAACGATTTTTCCCTCAACTGTCCATTTGATTGATAACACTTGAAGTTGTGGCCAACCAAGTTTTGTTCTGTTATCATTACTGAATTATTCTAAATTCATTCTTTGAGTTCTCGCCTAATTTCTTTATACAGGAGCAATTCACTTGTATTTCAAAGTTTGTTTATCCAACAAATTCACAACCTTAAGCCAGGAAGCTTGGGGTAAATTGGGGCAACAAAGACCATGCCCTAAAGATTATGAAATTTTATGAACTCAAGTTCTTCTTATTATTTTAGACAAACTTCTAGCAAGACAAAAGAAAGGAGAAAAGCTTGTTGGAGGTATGCCTGCTGAGAGCAAAGTAAGTTAAATCAATGTATTAGGAGGTTTGTAACATGTAGAAATAAATGTATGACAAAAATAATACAAAGTCCAAAGTCCAGTAGAGAAGAAATGGAAGGATTCTGTTGTAAAATTCTAATATCACATGTGAAAAGGCATAATATCACTTGAAGAAACTTGTAATAAGCTAAAGATGTATACTCTAAAGCCCAAAGCAACCTTCTAAGTAATACAACTAGTTATAGCTAAAAAGGAGATAGGGCCTCCCAGGTGGCACAAGGGGTTAAGACACAACCTATGAAGCTATCCACAGCCACTGCAGCACGAGTTTGATCCCCAGCCAGGGAGCTACCCACATGGCACAGCAGACCTCTCCTGATTCACCTGCTGCTCCCCTCAGCAGTGTATTTAAGTCAATCTGCCTGTTCTGTTCCCCACTCTGTCTCTGGTGAATCCTCTCACCCCCCACACCTCTGGCCCATACCCCAGTTCTTGTATGCATAAATAAATAAATCTTTTTTAAAAAATAAAATAAAAAGGAGATAAAGTGAAATTATTTCACAAAAATAGTCTATTAATCCAAAAAAATGAAGAAAAGGTGAAAGGAAAGAAAAAACAGATGTGACAAATAGAACGCAAATAGCAAGATGGTAGCTTAAACTCAACCATGTCAGTTGATTTTATTTTTATTTATTTATTTTTTAAAAGATTTATTTATTTATTTGTTTGTTTGTTTATTTATTTATACAAGCGCTGGGTACAGTCAGAAGTGCGGGAGGGTGAGCAAATTCACCAGAGCCAGAGCGGAGAACAGAACAGGCAGAAGGACCAAAGTACACTGCTGAGGGGAGCAGCGGGCGCCAGGAGAGGTCTGTGGCGCCATGTGGGACCCTCCTCTGGTGGTCGGGGAGCAGCCGGGGATCGAACCGGCGCCGCAGAGGCTGGGGCAGCTTCGCAACCCAGCGCTCAACCGCTGCGCCACCGGGGAGGCCCTGTCAGTTGATTTTAAATATTAATGGTCCAAACATCATAATTAAAAGGCAAAGATTGTCAAATTGCATATAAAAGGCACATCGAAATACGTGCTGTTGACAAAAAAAAGCACTCAAGTAAGAAGGTATAAATTAAAACTAGAAGGATGGAAAGAATTGTTCCATCTTAATAGTATTTATTTATTTATTTATTTTTGCACATCTTTATGCCCCCACACATCTTACTTTTACAATTTAGGATGGAGAGCCTTTTCATGTCTTATTAAAATGCCTTGTTCATTTGTGGCCTGTACCCTTTTCCCATTGCTGCTGTGTAGTTGAATGTCCATTTGACTCAGCTTGCTTTGTAAAAGTCTTGTTTTGTAATCAAAAGTTCTCTCAGTTATTTTACTCACCTCTTTTCCTTCAATTTATCCTTTCAATCCCAGGCAATAAGGGGCACTAAAACTCGCCAAGGACAGTGCCCAAATAGTTTACGGATCACTGTCTGAGTTCCTCACCTGAGTTCTTGCACAATTGCCTAACAAGTTCAATGAACCACAATATGGGTAAATATAAAGAAAAACACATTAACACACATCAGATTCCTGAAAATCAGGATAAAGAGAAAATCTTAAGAACAATCAGGAGAAAAAAGACATATTACATAAAGAGGAACAAAGATAAAAACAATCTGACTTAGAAACTATACAAGCCAGAATAATGGCATGACTGCTTTAAAGTGCTGAAAGAAACTAACTTTCAACTTACAATTCTATGCTCATCAAAAAGTCATTTCAAGGGGCCTCCCCGGTGGCGTAGCGTTTGAGCACTGGGTTGCGAAGCTGCCCACAGCCTCTGCAGCGCTGGTTCAATCCCTGGCCGCCAGGCAAAGGTCCCACAAGTCACACAGACCTCTCCTGCCACCTGCTGCTCCCCTCAGCAGTGTACTTCATCAGTGTGCCTGTTCTGTTCTCTGCTCTGGCTCTGGTGAATTCTCTCACCCTCCCATGCTTCTGACTGTACCCAGTGCTTGTATAAATAAATAAATAAAAATATTAAAAAACAAGTCATTTCAAAACAGACAAAATAATCTTTTCAGTAAAATATTTAGCACAAAGATCACAAAATATGAGGTAGAGAATGAAAGAAAATTGCCAAAATTATCTTACTGAGGTGATTTAATAATCTAGAATAGGTTAACATAACTGCCAGTGACAACATTTTCAAATATAAGTCAGTTTGTCAGTCTTCTGCTCAAAATTTTCCAATTGTGTCTACAACACATCCTGTGAGGTTGGATATAATCTGAACATTCCTTCAATTTCTATCATCACTATAAATTCAATGATGAAAACATTAGCAGAAATCCATATAAATTATTCTGAAGATACTCTTAAAAGATTTTATGAAATGCCTTGGGAAAATATGCTGATCTACTCATAGATGTTGGTGGGCAATTTGGCACTCCTCTATTTTTTTAATTAGTTCCCCTTTTTAAAATCTGTCACTTTATTGCTAAGAGATGATTTGAGGATACATGCTCAAGAAAAATCTAAGAAGTATTGTGAGACAAAGTAAAATATAGCATGTGCATGCACATACACAAAGAAGCAAAGAAGAAATTACAAAATACAACTGGTAATTTCCTTCTATTTGAGATAATAAGGGAAGAGGATGTAGGGATCACAGGGAACCACAAACAAAATTCAAGGTAGCATTATGGTGTACGTAGATAAAAGTGTTGTCAAGAACAGAAATAGAGTATGCTTTAGAAAGAGCAATGGACTGGGATCAGGCGATTCTAGAAGTGACTGCCATGTACATTGTGTTCATGAGCATACTGTGGCTCTGTTCAGACTCAGTGGGAAATACTATGGAACCGATTTCTGCCAGAGGCTAGTTGTGTATCAGATAAATTTACTAATTCACAACAGCTTCCATAGGAAGTGAAGTATTAAGAATAATGGGCAAAATAAGTCTGTTTACTTGGAAAGGTCATGTGTAGGCTCCAATATAAACACCATGACTAAACAACTAGAACTAGGATCAGTGTTTGAATCACAGAGTCAAGAACTCCAAATCAAGACTAAGTTAAGGAGTAATATAGTTTAGGAAAAAACATAAGGGAGGATTCCTAATTGGGGGCAAAATCATGATGACATCATAATTTTCTAATATTCTCTTCAATTCCTTTCTAGCAATGGACAGAAAAATCAGGACAGCAAAAGAATAGCTGACATCTTCACATATCTTCAATAAGACTAAGTGACAAGATATCTTACAAGACTCAAAATATGCACAAGTAGGTCAAATCATTAGCCATCAATAGGACCTACGTGTCTTAAGAGATATGCAAATGTGTGGAGGGGAGATAAGAGCATAACAGTAGACCTCTATAGATGTGGAAACCTGCAAATAAACCTCAGACCAACTGGCCACACGGGAGAAATTTCATAGGTTTCTATTTGGGTTGAGTACAAAAGACCTCAGAATCCCATGGAGGGGCAGTAAGATGATGAGAATGTGACCTGCACTTTTAACAAAACCTCCCTTTGATAAGGATGATGTATCTGTTAAAAGAAATGGCTCGACAGGCAGGATGCTGTAGGCTCCATCCCCATCTGTGATTATAACCTGCATCATAACCCCTGGCACACCATGAACTGGACTTCCTGAATAGGGGCTGCTGTCTTTTAATTAATGTTTTTGGCCATTGACATTTAAAGTTACTACTGATAAAGCTGGAAAAATATGTGTGGTTTTCTATTCATTGTGGTCATTCTATTTGCTTTGCTTTCTCTGTATTTGAACATTTTACATGATTCCATTTGACCTCTTCTCTTAGAAGAGTATGTCCTTTTTATATTTATTAGTTGCCCTCAAGTTTGCAATATACATGTACAACTAACCTAAGTTGACCATCAAATAATATCCTGCCTCATAGTTAGTGCCCAGTCACCTATATGCCCACCAAAGGAATTCTTTTTTTTTTTTTTTTTATAGAGGCATGTTTTATTTATTTGTTTGTTTGTTTATACATGCACTGGGTACAGTCAGAAGCACGGGAGGGTGAGAGAATTCACCAGAGCCAGAGCGGGGAGCAGAGCAGGCAGAAGGACCGAAGTACACTGCTGAGGGGAGCAGCGGGCGGCAGGAGAGGTCTGCGCGCCATGTGGGACCCTCCTCCTGTGGCCGGGGAGCAGCCAGGGATCGAACCGGCGTGGCAGAGGCCGCGGGCAGCTTCGCAACCCAGCGCTCAACCGCTGCGCCACCGGGGAGGCCCCAAAGGAATTCTTAATTTTTGTGACTTTGTTGTGAATTCGAGCATTTCCTTTTGATTTTTGAGTTTGGTGGTTAGGGATGGGGTGGCAAGACAAAATAGATATTGTAGGCTGAAAAGACTGAGACTCATGCCACACTGTGGTAAAATACTGATTGACACTGTCACCTATAATAATAAGAGTAACAAAGAGAAAACAGACTTTAGAGGAAAAGGTAGGAAAGAGGCAAAATACTAAGTGTATTGATTATACTTCTGTATTTAGGAGAGACAGAGACATACTTAGCTAGTGTAACTTAACAAATGCAAAGAGAAAGTCAAGAAATTTGGACCCTTACAGTATAGATTTCAGACAACAGAAAGAATTAGGCCTAAGCATTCAGGTAAAGAAAGTTACTCAACTTTGAGTATGAATGTGACATTCCCATCCAGTCCTTGTTTTACATGGCTTCAAGCAACCATTACCAATATACTGACAGGCTTCTTGAAGAGGTAAGATCTAGTTCCTATAAAATTCCAATAGAAGATTCTTAATATGAATGAAATTGGGATTTCCATGGTTTTACTTCAGTAGGTATAACATTTACCCTAGTTTTTCCAATAAAACTCTAACAGAAGCTTTTTTTTAAATTTACCATGTTCCCAAAATTATATAAATTTCAGGGATGTAGTCTCACATCTCAATAAATACATATGCCACACTGCACCTACCACCAGAGATCTGTTACACTTACAGAAATAACACTGTGGAAAGTCAATTTCATCTTTTGTCAGACTCTTATTGGAAAAAGTAGAATGTTACCTTTACTGAAGAAAAAGAAAATCCTGCTACTTGATACCTTCCCTAATCCTTCCAGTGTACTTGCCTTTTCTGGAAACTGTCCCCCATCTCTTTACTGTCCCCCATTTTCTTTACTGAAGAAAAAGAAAATCCTGCTACTTGATACCTCCCCTAATCTTTACAGTGTACTTGCCACTTCTGGAAATTGTCCCTCATCTCACCCCTACCTTTTAAATGTGTTCCACCACTTCCCATGCCGCTCCTTACCTGTAAGCCTGCTGTCCTGCTCAGTTCTAGAGCCCTCTCCATTCTGGTGCAGAGCTTTCCATGTCCCAGGGCTTGGAAAAGGTATGACTTGAATTTCATTAACCCTTTGCACTCCGCTGTCCCCTCTCAGGGGACATCGGAATTCTAGCATATCACTCGGATGTCCCCTCTCAGGGGACATTGCAATTTATTAGTGATTACGGGGAATTGAGTTATTTCAACGCAACTTTTTGAGACATGCATGTTTCCCTGAAGTTTTATCTTGAAATGGCACAAGAAATTAAATCAAAATACCGTAAAATTACTAAGATATATACAAGAAATGTCAGCGGGTTTTGTGTCGGACTACATATTCCCGATGTGGGACAAAGAAAACGGGACTGCATTGTGTGTTCTAACAGGAAAACACCTGGTGGCAGGCGTCAAACCACTTATTACTGTCAAACATGCATTAATCAGCCTGCAATGCATATTGGGGAGTGTTACAAAACTTATCATACTGTACAAAATTATAAACAATAAAATATTGGTTTTTTGCAAATATACATTCCTCGATGTCACCCAATTCATATAAGTCCAATATCATTATAATACGTTACTTGGTTCCAAAATTATACTAAATAATACGAGGGTCCGTAAATGCACGTTTCTGCCGCAAAGTAGCGTCGAGTAGCGGGTAGCCAATGTCCAGAATGGTTCGGAGTGCAAAGGGTTAAGTAGGTGCCTTCCCTCATGTTCGGCTGCAATCTCATTTCCCCCCTTCAAATCCAGATTTCCAGTTTTCTGCTTCTGGAGATTCCATATGAACAGGCCATGCTGGGGTTTAAGATGGGTAATTGGGGGTAGGGGCCACTGTCCCCAAGTAATCCTCTGGGAACCCTCTGTGGTAGAGGCTCTTCCATGGTGGTATCCCTGGGCCCTCCCCTGCCCCCACCCCAGAGGCTGCTTCTCATTCCCACACCCTACCCTTCTCCTTGCACCCTGCCTCCTGCTCTGTTGATGGCACCTCCTTGCCCAAGACAAGGCTAGGTTTGCTTAGGAGTGCAGGTATAAAGTTCCCTCTAGAAAGTGTGAGGATTAACTGCTCCAGGAAACAGAGAATGGGTATCCACTCCTAAGGCTTGGAAGACAATTAGAAGAACTCAGTGGAGGGCCTCCCTGGTGGCGCAGCGGTTGAGCTCTGGGTTGCGAAGCTGCCCATGGCCTCTGCGGCGCCGGTTCGATCCCCGGCTGCTCCCTGGCCACCGGAGGAGGGTCCCACATGGCGCACAGACCTCTCCTGCCGCCCGCTGCTCCCCTCAGCAGTGTACCTTGGTCCTTCTGCCTGCTCTGCTCCCCGCTCTGGCTCTGGTGAATTCTCTCACCCTCCCGCGCTTCTGACTGTACCCAGTGCATGTATAAACAAAACAACAAACAAATAAATAAATAAAAACATGCCTCTATTAAAAAAAAAAAAAAAAACTCAGTGGAGGTTGAAGGGCTGTACAGGGACCAGGTGTGGGGTCAGAAGCAGTGGGTAAGGTGGTGATGGGGAGTCCTAGTGGACACTGAGAGTAGTCCCAGATGGCAAGCTGGTGGCAATCTCTACTTGTTTGGCAAAATGTTAGAAAAATGACCCAAATGCCAGAGGAAAAGTACCTAAATCTAAAGGCTGAGGGGTGGGGGGGAAGGTGGAGGCAGATGGTCAACTTTAGTTTCTGACAGAAGATAGATAGAACTTTTTAAAAATTAGGACTAACTTTTAAGGCCTTAAATTCACATACATTATTCACAGGTACATTTCAAACAGGGAAGAGGTAATCAATCAACTCATTAGAAATGAAATGATTTTAACAATTTTGCTGAAATGGTATAGAAAAATAACTAAATGACATCCTTTGCATGTCAGTAGAGGATAAAGGCTACCACCAACTGCCCCTTCATCAACACTGTGGCTGGTAGTACATGGTTCTTGCTTCCTTCCATGGAAGGAAGCCATCCCAGTAGCCATCCCAGAGAGCCTGTGCTGCCCAGCATTGTCACCAGGCCTCAGAAACCACGTGTGGTCCCTAGGCACCATCCCCTGGAACTGCAGAACGTGTCAGGTTTGGCACATATTTTAAGTTTTATTTTACTTACACATTTACAAAATTCACGAAGCCATTTTGAGAAAGGGAAGGTTGAGGCTGCCTGGGAGAGATGGGCTCACAGGCACTGTCCAGAATTGGGTACTTGGGACTTTTCAAGGGGAAACTGTCCTGAATCTCAAGAGTCTTCCTTGCCAGGCATCTAACATGGTAGCATGGTTTGCTCATCACTGCCTGGAAGATGTTACTGGAGGCTGCCTCAGCCCAGGATTTTATTGCTGGTGAACTTGGTTATCCAACTTAGAGCCATTTAGTCCAGGATTATGGCATTATCAGAAATGGGTCCAGTGGTAAGCACTTCGCTGAAAAAGGAAGTTGAAATATGTAAGCTGCACTGATTCTGCAATGCTGACACGATGCCTGTATTTGTCTTCAGCCTCAGGGAGTACCCTGAAGAAGACAGGTAGAGAACCCCCTAGTCCCATCCAGTGGGATGGCCAAAGACAAGATGGATGTGCCCAAACCACAGAAGCCTGGACTCCAGAACCCAACCAATTCTTCCTTTTCCTACACAATCTTTTTTTAAGGCTCAGAAAGATGTTCCCTTTCACAGATGGAAAAAAAAATACACTCCCCTCATTTTCCAAAACTGGATCTCTTGGTCTGAATGAGATTACTACTTGGCAAAGAGAGGTTCAGAACTATGAATGAGCAGTACTCAAGCATGTATTCTGAAAAGATGGATCACTGTAAAGTGCCCCTGGGTCATCCCTGAATTTCACAGGTCACAGGAACAAAACCGTCGTGCAAGAATAGTTTGCCTCTGTGATTATAGCAGCGACAAGACAAAAACCAGGGGTGATTTTATTACTCAGATTTGATCTTGTATTAGCCTCTGTCATTTTGCAGACCATTAGCTTCTCCATCTCTCCTGAAAGTGCTTGGTGCTATTTCTGCAATCCACCAGTGACAGAAGGCCCCCCCATCCACAGAGCTGCAAGAGTGTCCACCTCTGTGACAAATGAGGAAAATGAATCCTAATGCCATGTAATTTTCCCTCTTGCTCTGTTAGACTGCAAGTGTTTAATCTTTTTCCCTTTTTGAGAAAAGCAAAGTCCAAATGGCATTGGTAGGCATGGGGAGTCAGGGCCTTCAGAGCACCTTATGTCCAAACTTAATTGTAACAGTCAGGGTCCAGCTTCAGGGGATCAATCACGCACAGGTCTCTGGGACACTGCCAGAGTCTTCAGAAGGAGTATGATGGAAGAAATGTCATTTCTGTGGTCATATTCACCTGGCTGGTCTCTGGTCTAACCAAGATATTTGAATTCACAGCCCTATGCATTAGTTAAGCAAAAAATCTGGCTTGTGATACCCAAAGAGTTTAAAGTCCCCTTCAAAACGTGCATACAGACGCCGGATGTCTCGTTTGCTGATGCCCAGAAAGTAGTGTTCCACCTTGGTTTTATTATACACAGTAATGCCAGGAGGGATGGTTGGGTAGGACACCAGATGGTCTATGCCAGCTTCTTTTAAGATGTATGGGGCATCATCCTCCAGGGTCTCATGGTGGCCAATCACACTGTACTTTATTTCACAGGGTGCACACAGTTCTACGTATGTCACCCAGTGAATAATGTGGTCCCCAAACTGAAGGTCCAGCCATCTGTGGTTAGGATCACCCAAATAACGCACAAAATCTTCAAACTGGATGCCCCTGGTCTCTGTCCGGTTCCTTCTGTATTTCCTGATAATGCCAGGGGCAATCTCATGCCTGTACCAAGGTTCAAAGCGGGGATTATGAACAAACTTATCTTTAAATGCAGAAATCAGTCTTTCGAAGGGATCTCTTACGATAAAAAACTTGAAGTATGTTTTCAAGCTAAGGAAAAAAATAAAAAAAACAAGAGGTTAACCTGATGCTACTGGTGGTAGCAACTGTGAGGGTAGGGAGAATGAAGAACAGTAGGTGGAAGGGCAGCAGCAGAACCGAACCTTCACCCAGGCTGAGCCCTGGGGTAAGTACCTTGCAGGAGGCTCTTATTTAACCCACTCAGCCACCCTTGCAAGCAGTCCTGTTATAATCATTGTACAGGTGAAGAAATGGGGGCTCAGAAATCTCAAATGCCCAAGGTCACAGTACTCCAAATCCTAGAGCGCCACTGTGAAGACATCTACTTAACTTATGGTTTTGTTTTATTTGAATATGTTAAAACATCAGGAATATTTGAATTTTATTCCTGAGCAGAAAAGTGTAAGGGCAGGAACTCTGAATGAGTTAGGAAAAGCTTGAAGGCAGAGGAAGTTACTTTAAGGGTGTATTCTTAAAAATTCAAAATTGCCAAGAGGAGGAAATATAAGAGGGAAAAGGGGGTAAGAAAAAATGAGAGAGGCCTGAGGCTCTAGCGGGCAGGGAAGGCAGCCTGGGTGAGCTACCAATTGTGGCATAATGGTGCCCATGTGAAGGGCTGGGAGCTGCAATGATGACAAAACAAGACAGTTTTGCGCCCTCCTTGCCAGGAACTATACTCAATGCTCCACATGTGTCTTCGCTCTTCCACTCTCACAAGAGTCCATGAACTAAGTGCTTAGGGAGATAACTGGCCAGTCTTTACCCAGGAGAATCTCTGAGCTGGCATTGAACAGCTCCATTCCAAAGGTTTGCACAAGCTGGGAAGACTGGATAATCAGGGCCAGAGGAATGAAAAGCGAAAAGCGGAAAGCAAGGCAGGCCCAAGTTGAGTTGGCACCTTGACATTTATCTGCAGCTTATACGTTCTGGTTCCTTTTAAACTTCACTTTGCAGGGCCACTTCATAGTTAACAAAGAGAGCCTCTCCCTTTATAAACTAAGTAATTTTGAAAATGCCAATGCCCATTCTTATTATGATCAGCGAGGTCTGTTTCTCTGAGTGTGTGGTCCTAGCCACACCACCACCCCCCGGGGGCAGCTACTGTAGGAGTTGGCTTACTACCTTTAGAAAAAATGAAAACTTGAGTGGGGTTTTACCTGCAACCCAAACCCCTTCCTTATGAGAAAAAGGTCATATTTAGTAAGAAATCCATAAAACTTAGCATAATCAAAGCCAATTAAAACTGACTACTCATTTCTATTAAGAAAATCAGTGTAACCTTTATTTTAATGGACTATATGAGAACCCGAGTGGAGATGTTCTGAAGGTCTCAAGGATTTGTGAATTTAAATGCACTGAACGCTGGGCATGTGCTCAGCTGCCTCTCACAATGCAAACCAACAGCCCCAGGTAGTGCTTGGAGCAATTTGGGATATACAGCAAGTACAGATCTGAGCCTTGGGCTTTATCGAAATGCCCCTTCCCTTTGAGGAACTTGCTCCTACCGCTTCTGAATTTCTGCATCACTGAAGGAAGAGAGCCGAGGGAGGCCATTCTTCTCATGGTCGTGAACCACATTTTCAGGGATCTCTTCAATGGAAGGAAATGCTCCTGGGAAGTAAACAGGGGAGAAGGCTATGTCGACTACCCTTTCAGTGCTACCCTGAAAAAAAATGATGCTCTGTCTCTTAACTCAGGGCCCATGTTCCTCACAAACAATCTGCAAAAGCCAAGTTTGTGTCTTTGAATTCTAACTGCTCCTGCTGGCAGGGTGAGAGAGGGAAGAAAGGTTTTTGATAATCAGTAAGCCAATTAAAGGAAACAGATGAGTTGGGGGGCAAGGGGACAAGGGATATCTACATCTGGCTATGCACCTAAACTGTGTTAAATTTGACATTTAAAAAAGATCACTGCATGTAAATAGAATGCCTAAAACCAGCAATACTTATTCTACTCTGCAACTGGGGGAAATGCCAGAGAAGCAGAGCCACAAAGCTGATAATTTATGGCCACAGCATCATCTGGGGCCTCTATTCCTTGCAGACAAGGTTCTCAGGCACCACACCTCCAGACCTTTGGTGTTTCCCAGGCAACCTCCAGGCATTCTATACCGGCAAGAGGCAAAGATATTTGCTGCAAGGCAAATCTGGCTACTGTTGTGATCATGATGTGATATGTCTGCAGCAGGGGTCAGAGGAGGACAAATGTCTGACAGGGCAGGGCTGAATGGAACCTGGTTCTATCCTAGAGAGAGGGGACAAAGCAGGTTTTCTTTTTTCAACTTATACAAACAGAAATAAAGCATGACTATCAAGGAAGATGTTAGGCCACCCTCTGCAAAGCTTCACCTCCATCTCTGTGTTAATTCATCATGTTAAACTCAGACTGGTGAAGAAGAGTCTGCAGGGCCATCTAAACAGTGGTCAAACATTGTTATAATCATTCCTCTCCAAAATACTTTCAGCAGCAGTCCATGCCATGCTGAGTGCTGCAGAAACAAGCAAGATGGAGCATCTGCCCTCAAGGGCACAGCAGAAGAACCATCTCCTGGGTCTGCACCTGGACCTGCTCAGGTACCTGCCCCCATTCCAGGTGAGTCTAGACAACCAAAGTATCATCCCTTTTCTATTATATGGCCTCGCAAACCTGCTACTATTTTGATCTTGCCCTTGTACATGGGTTTTGATTTCTTTGAAGTCTGATGCTTCGTACTATGTGGTAGATTTTTAAGATTTTTTGTACATTCCTTGTTTTAAGTTTGATTTGTAACCTTAATCTCCAATGCCACAAATCCAACATGCTGTCAGAATACTCAAGAAGCACATTAATTATGTACCAGAAGGTAAAGCAAGTGTCTCCCTGAACCAAACATTAGAACCAAATAAATGACAGCAAACTGACTACTAGCTTTGAGAGATCAGCACTGGGCTGCAGGACAGAGGTCCCCAGTATCACTCCAGGGCTCCCAGATCTGATTCCTGAATCAGGAGTCACACAGCAGTCAACTGACACTATGTTCCTTTTGAAGCTGAATTTAACAGAGACAGCCCATAGAGGTGTCCCTTCCTTTAGCTCCCTCTGCTGTCCTCCTCTGCCTCCCCTTCCCAGGCCACAGTGACCTTGCCTGGGCAAACCCTGGTGACCACGGACATGGACACTTGCGGGGCTCTGCACGCACCATTTAACACGATCAGCACTTTCTTCCATTGGGTGTTACCCACTTTGGGAGTCTGGCAGAAAAGAATCTTGTGCTTGTCACAGACAAATATTCGGTCTAGGACAAACTTGGAGATTGCTGTGTGTGACAGATTCTTAAGGGCTTCATCCCTGCAGACATTTCTGATGAGTTCTAGGCGTTCCATGTAGACCAGAGGTTGGACAAGCCGGCTGTCTGAAAGCATCTTCCCAGTTGGCTGCAAGTAATAAGGTGAACAGACACAAGGGCTTCATTAGAAAGCAAGAGTCTTGGGGGAGGTGTTGCTTCCTAATCTTGAATTATTAGCTAATAAGCAGAGAGAAGAATCGTGAAGATGCCCTCACAGAAACAACAGGACTGTGTAGGAGTGCTTTGCAGTTAAGGGGCTGGGATTCAGACTGCATGGATATGCTGACCCACTGTTCATAGATAACTAAGCCTCTGTCTCGCCATCCTCAGCTTGGAAAAACTAAGGAGATAGTGGGCTGTTTATTACTTTGCTGATGGCATTAAGGCCCTTAATTTGCTAGAAAATTTTCATTCAGGGATATTAGTGAAAGCAGGCCAGTTTCTGCCTCCTTCCTTTGTCCAAACTTCTCCCTCCACATAACTCCAACCCTAGGGACCAGGTGTCTACACACATGTTGACTGTTTTGAAAATACTCCGATAAACTGGTGCATTTATTAATTTTTAAAAAATGCCCTATGTCATTCATATGGGTTTTGAAAACACAAAACTATCACTCCATGTCCTCAGTTGAAAGCACACAACTAGCTTTCTCTATATGAGTTTAAGGAGAGGGGGAGGGTTTTGTTGGGTATTTATGTCAGTAAATAGCCACTGTGAGTCAATGCTAAAGCTCATCTGCCCAAGGAGTCATCAAATCTGGTGAGAAAACCCCTATGAACTGTGGGGTGAAGGCTCTGATGCCAGAAACTCCTGCCTGCCAGGAAAGGGTGCCGAGAAGCCAGCAGATACAGATGAGCCAGAAGCCCTTATCAGCCCAACTGTGAGGTCTGTGCTTAGAGTGCAAGATGCACAAGGGAATAGGTGCTGCAACTTTTACTCTGTGACTTTTCAATCTTTGAAGTCTGGTATTTTGGGGGGGGTCATCTCTGAATTATCTGGAATAGGTCTTTGAACAGTTTTCCCACTCAAAAAACAGTGCCCGTGAGGTATATTCTAGTCCACAAGCTGCTAAAGCAGTCCCTCTGTTGCCTCATACATTACAACTCCACCTACAAAATTCTTGAACTTAGGCTGCACTGTGCTCTGGCATTGAATACTATAGAGAAGTCTATGGCTGCCTCCCGTCATGATCATTTCCTTATAAAGGACCCACTTTTAATACCTGTTTGTAAGATTTTGTTGGTCCATGATTCTAGCACATGAAGAATTTTGCCAGGATTTGTCACTGTGGTTTTCTGATTTTGCCTGGGATACAGAGTCCTTTCTGCCTATACCCTTGGTTCAGGAAATGTTCTTTTCTTAGGACAGTTGGGTGGGGTGGAGCTCATGTAAGATAAAGTCATTTTAAGTTAGGGGGCCTATGTTAGCAGGAGTTTCTGTCCTTTGAGCCTTCACCCCACAATTCATGAGGTTTTCTCATCTGGTCTAAAGACTCCTCTGAGGAGAATGCTCCAGTATTTGCTTCTAATTTGTGATACAAGTGATATGACTACCAATTAAAATCCTCCCTCCCTCCTTAAACTATATTTAAAAAAAATAAACATGTTTATCATAGAAGAAAGTCATGTATCATATATATGTTATACTTAATGAATGCTTTTTGAAAAAGAAATATATGTTGATTGAGGAGAGTTATGGATTATAATGGAACACAGTTGATATTTTCCTTTTACTTTGGGGTATTCTTTAAAATATGCATGAGTATGTATACTTCTTAATTTAAAAAAAAATAACAAACTTGATTTGAAAATATTGGCTGGTGGGACACCTAGAAAGACTTGAGGGAAGTTCTAGGCCTCTGTGGATGATTGCTACCCACATTTGGGTATTTTTTTATATCCAAAGATGGCTTGGGAAAGAGAGCTCAATTTTTTTTCTCTCTTCCTTTAACATAATCCACTAATTAAAAGCCACAACGCCCTACCAGAATTCATCTGTATTTCCTCCCAGGGCTGCCCTGTCCCTTTCTTATAGGCCCTCTCTTCTTTCCTTTCTCCTCTTTTCTACAGTGTGACAACCACTATTTCCAGTCACTTCACATATGGGACTCAGCGAGTGAGAGGGAATCTCAAGGGTGTGTGCCTCATCTTGCTGGGGAATAATTAGGAATTCATGTACAAAAGCTACTTGAGGAGAAAGTTGAGAGTCCACATGTCTGGGAAAGTGAGCATGGGTGAAAAACAGCAGCTCTGGGCTCTGCCAATAACTACCACAAGATTTTGGATGATTAGCCTTTTTCTTACACTCAGTTCTCTCATCCATGCTACTCTGAGGTTGAATTAGCTACTCTCTTATGCAAGATCCCTTCTAATTTTCTAAAGTTCTCTGATTCTGGGTCAGAAATTGTTCCCACTCCTATGTTTACTCCTGTCTACCTGCCTCCCTGCCTCCCTGCCTCCACTCCCCAGACTTCTCAACTGATCAGGAATTCAACCCCATCAACATTTACAGAGCACCATGATGTACACAGCAGTGTGAGGAACATGAAAATAGAGGAACCTGTGCCTCCTCAAAGAGAAGCTAAAATCATGAGCAGAAATGATTAAGATATAATAAAAGCAGCAATTATAAGGTGGAACATGATGATAAATGGAAAGCAGCTTGATTTGAGTGAGGAGCTGGGGGAGGCTATTTCCCAGGTGATGGAGGACCCATAGGCTGAGTGGTTAACAGGTAAGAGGTAGACACTACAAGAAAAATGGGAAGAGGCAGCCCTGCTCCTGTACTGACCAGCTCAGAGGGACAGTACCCTTTGCCTTGCAGTGCCCACCTTCAGTTCCTCAGGAAATTGTTTCTCCCTGGGCAGCTTTCCTGTGTCTGGTATAGCCGTCAGTAACAGAAACTCCTGTTTGGCGCTGTATGCTAGGAGAGAGAGAGATGTCTTAAAATGTCTTCTCATGGGGAAGCAGACACACAGATCACTGCAAAAGAATAGAGTTCTAGAAAAAGACCTGCACAAATATGCCCAACTGACGTTTGACAAATGTGCAAAAACCAATTTGGTGAAGGAGCGTCTTTATAATAAATGATGCTTGAGCAACTGAACAAAAAATTAACTTTTGCCTAAACTTCACATTTTATTCAAAACAAACTCAAAATGAATCAACACTTAAATGTATAACTATAAAATTGCAAAATTTGGTAGACTAAATCTGATCTGATTCTCACCAAAATAAGAACTTGAAGTCAGCCAAGATTTAGACAAATTACAGACTGGGAGAAAATATCTGCAAACCAGATATCTGACAAAGAAGTCTTGTCTAGAATATGTAAAGAACTGTCAAAATTCAACAGTTAAAAAAAAATCCAGTTAGGAAATTAGCAAGACAAAAACAGACATTTCACTGAAGGTGATATACAAATACAAAAGGGTGTTCAACATACTTAGCCATCAGGCAAATACAAATTAAAAACACAATGACATAGCACTAAATACCTATCAAAATGACTAAAAAAAAAAAAAACAGTGAAAACTCCAAATGTCAGAGAGAATACAAAGAAACTGCAAACAGTGCTGGTGATAATGTGAAATGGCATAGCCACTCTGGAAAAGCTTGGTAGTTTCTTAAAAAATAAGAACACAACTACTATACAACCCAGAAATTGCATTCCTTGGCATTTATCTCACAGAAATGAAATTTATATTCACAAAAAAAAATCTATACATAAAGGTTTGTAGCCACTTCACTTGTAAAAGCCCCAAACTGTAAACAACTCAGATGTCTAAGCTGGCACAGTAACCGGTTAAGCAAACCAGTGACTGGTTTATTTCAACAGGTGATTGGTTAAACAGCAACACCATGGAGTACTACTCAGCAATAAAAAAGGAAAAATCTACTGATACATACAGTAAGCTGGGTAAATCTCCAGGGAATTACACTGGAGGGGGAAAAAATGCCAAAAGGTTACATACTGTATATAATATTCTTGAAATGACAAAATTATGGGGAAGAGATTAAATTAGTGGTTGCTCTGGGGGCAGGGTTGGGAATGAGGAGGTAGGAGTGGCTAGAAAAGAGCACCATGAGGGATGCTTATGGTGATAGATATGCCTCTTTACTGTCATCCCTGTTAAAATGCTGGCTGTGGTTCTGTTCTGTAGTTTTGCAAGATATTACTACTAGGGAAAGTGAGTATAGGGCACATAGAGCTCTGTGTTATTTCCTCCCACTGCATGTAACTCCAATGAGCTTGAAATAAAATAAACTTTAAAAACAACAACAGGGCCTCCCCGGTGGCGCAGCGGTTGAGAGCTGGGTTGTGAAGCTGCCCGCAGCCTCTGCAGCGCCAGTTCGATCCCCGGCTGTTCCCCGGCCACCGGAGGAGGGTCCCACATGGTGAGCAGACCTCTCCTGCCGCCCGCTGCTCCCCTCAGCAGTGTACTTCGGTCCTTCTGCCTGCTCTGCTCCCCGCTCTGGCTCTGGTGAATTCTCTCACCCTCCCGCGCTTCTGACTGTACCCAGTGCATGTATCCAGTGCATGTATAAACAAACAAACAAGTAAATAAATAAATAAATAAAACATGCCTCTATAAAAAAAAAAAAGATTAAAAAACAACAACAACAACAAACTAGCAGTCAAAGAAAGCAGATTAGTGGCTGCCTAGTGCTGGGGTTGAGGGTATTAGTGGATGATGGCTAAGGAGTATGGGATATCTTCTTGGGCTAATGAAAATGTTCTAAAATTGATGGTATTGACTCATGTACAACTTTGTATACTGAGTCACTGAATTGTAGTCTTTAAATGGATAAACCTGTTTAAAAATTCTACAAAAAAATTAGTAAAGTTAGTGCTTACACAAATTAGTTCAAAAATTCATGGAAATTGAGATAAGCCAGAGAATAATTTACAACAAACTGATTTCTGACAAACCTTCGGAGTAGAATTTGAAGTTAATCTTCAGATAGCTACAAAGAAACATTTTCAAAATTTTGCAAACACTAGTACATATTAAGAAAAAGGAGTTATAAATTAAAAGCATAAAAAACAGTTCTATAGAGGCATATTTCACTTTTTAAAAATTAAAATCTCTTGGGCCATTAGCACCAGCACTTTGCACACCACTCTCTGCCCCCATTGGGGCAGTGTTTAACACTCCCAATCCCCGAGCCAGTGCTTCTGCCAGCAAACACCTGTAGCCCCATGTTCTCCCTGCGTAGCATTTTCCTTCCCTGCACAAGGGTGATACAAATGTCTTATATGTGCCTGACAATAATAACCCATCTCCCCATCTCTTAGACCTTTGATACATTTGATTGCAATACAAGCTCTTCCACATACCACTATAAATCCTACTAAAATATTTTTCTCCTTTTCCTCTCTCGGTTTGAGTCAAAGAACAATCCTAACCGAAGCTGTGTGCGGGGGCTGTTCTGTACCTGCAATAAGCACAAAGAGCACAGAGTATAAAAATAGATAAAACCATCATGCATCAGCCCCCAAAGTTCCTGAATGCACTGAGGGTTCTGAGTGACCAATGTCTACACATCTTCCTCTTTTACAACCTTGTCCTCTGAGCACTGCAAATAAAAAAATAACATTCCACACCCGTCTGGCCACTGAGTGTTCCTATGACATGTCCGATGATTAGCACTGCAGCGCTTAGCTCTGCCACAGGCTGCACATGGTTTCACAGAAACCTAAGTATCTTAACAACATTTTAGAGAGAAAAATGTATCCTAATTTCTAAACATTGATTTATGGATAAATTTTTGAAAAGCAACCCATTTCACATACTTGGAAGTATATAAAAAGACTATGGTACTGTAGGGCATCTCCTCTTTCAGTGCCCACATTCCAGTCAGTTACCTGCTAATTTTAAAAATTTTTATTATTTAATCTCCAACTCCCCTCAATCCTGATTCAACTGATAAGTATAATTTACATTTGGGTTTGTTTTTCTGTTGGCTTGCTGACAATCATTTATTTTCAGCAGATGCTGTTATCCCCACTATGATCAAAGAATAGGTTCTCACCCTAGCCTTTGGGGGAAGAGTCTACCTTCATAACCAAGCATTCTGGTCCTCTAGCATGGCCAGGTGTCTTCATAAGGTACTAGCTCACTTTCACAACAGGCATCATTGTATGTATAATGTTTCACAAAATGTCTTCAATTTGTCACGTGATGTTCTGCCATGCTTTTTAGAAGTGATCATATCCACTGCTCCCATCCCTTACCACACTGTGAATCTAGTAACCCAGAGTCACCAACTCACTGCACACACTTCCACTGCTCCTAACACATGCTGGGCGGAAGGTGTGCAAAGACACTCATGTCACTACTGTCTTCAAACAGCTTACAACTGAGTGGAAGGGCCGAGTCAAGGCAAAAGATTGGAACAGAAGCCAGAACACCTGTCTACACACACACACACCAGGTTCACAAAGATGCCATTTTTAAATCCTGAACCTCAATATATAATGCCACCAGATTCTCACCACTGAATTCTCACCACTGAATAATTCTCACCACTATTATTTCTCTATAATAAAGTCTAGTTATAATACTTGGCCAATCTGACAATGAAATTTGTTAACCAAGGAAGATTCATTGCCACAAATATCACTGTGGTTCCACTGCTGAACTGAAAGACCATGTACAATTTTTTCTTAAACATTGATTTTAAACAGCAGTTCAAGACAGATCTGCTTTTCCTCTCAGCTAAAGTGGAATACCCTTGTGTTGTCAGTTATTCCCTCGTAATGATACTTTATGGTGGCTTTTGGTTCAAAAACAAAAACACTATGAACACAAATAAAATAAACTCCAACATGTAAGAAAACCCTTACAGACATATATTTACAACCTCTTTCAGGTTCTGAGATCTACTAGAGGATTTTAACTGCTTCCCCAGACAAAAGAGCACTTAAGGCTAAAAGACTCTACCTACTAAACCCCAGCACCCCTGGGTGGGGGTAGGGAGCAGCTGCATAAACACCCTTGACTATGGTCCTTTCTAAGGGCCCCCAGAGGCTGAGTGTTTAACTTCTCCTGGTGCTTGATCCCTGCTTAGTCATCCAGACCTGAAAGACTTCCTGTGTGTGAGTTTGCCGCCTTCGTTCAGAATTCAGCCAGTGGACATCCATCTTTATGTCCAGGTACTAAGGTACTAAGGTTAGTACTAAGGTTAGTACTAAGGTTAGTACTAAGTACTAACCAGGTACTAAGAACAATTAGATAAGAGCCTACATGGTCAAGACAGCTGTGCTAAGTTGTAGGCCTGACAACAAAGGGATCACCACACATGGCAGAGCTGACACTGCTCTCACAGGAGACGGGACATGTGTAATGGGCTCTACATATCTGGCTCCACCAGATATGTCCAGGCCACTGCATTCCCATTTACTGACTACAGGAACCACACAGTCACATAGACCATCAAAGGGCAGAGGAATTACCACTTGTCTGCAGGGCTGCAGCTATTAGGTGAGCGGCGCCGAGGACTTTATTCCTGGTTTAAAATCCTAAAGACTTTCATCCTTCTTTACAGGTTTTACCTTTTATCCCCCTAATTTTTTTGCTCTCCTTCACAAAACCCTCTCAAGTTTTCACACTTTTCTGAGAACATTCAGTACAAAACTTGCCACATCATAGCAAATGACACCCCGTTTATCAGATCCCATTAAGGAATGAGGTAGTCTTTAGAATCTATTCTGCAGCAAATATTAAAGCTCAATGGCACATAACTTACTCAACTGTTTTTGACAAATGTCTCAAAATAGATTATACATACTTCTACTTTTTTAAGCAAAATAATCCACAAACAATTTAACTTCAGAACCTGCCTTTTAGGTTCTTCCAATCTTCAACTGCTTTTCTTACCAGGAAATGACACTTCAGAGAATTAAGAGTAAAACATGAGACTCTTAGTAACAAGATGTCATAATCTTGGTGGCTTTGTCACTCTCTTGTCTATATTCACAGTTCTCCCATGGGCCCCAACCCTCAAGATTAACTACATGTGGTCTGTAGTGGGGTCCAAGCAGCAGAAGGTTTACAAAGGCCCCCAGATGAGTTTCAAGTGCCAAGGGGTAAGAGAACCAGTGCTCTGACTCTTTATGCAAGGTCTCCAATATAGTACATATAACTGGAGAAATGGCCAGACTGTGGAGCTGAGATCACTGTCTCAAATTCCAACAACCCTCCTTGCTATTCTGACAGAGGTTCTAGTCCTGGTGTGAGCCCTGACTTTCTGGGCTTATCCATGATGTTCTGTGATGCTCCTGACCACTTCACATACCTGCAGGTGTTAACACCTCCTTCCCAAGGCTGTGAAAACTACTCAGTTCTCATGAGGACTCCCTGCAAGGGGAGGGTGGAACTTGGGATGACAGCCTGTCAGGGCCTCAAACACCTGAGGGCCTGATGGATGTGACTGTGGAATGGAGAACCACTCCCTGGGGCTTATTTTAGGGGATCCCACTTTTGCCTGCAGCTCTGCCTTCCAATCTTGTTCCTCTACAGATGGGGCAGGCAATAGGGAAGAAGGGAGCAGGAGGTATGGGGCATTGGGTAAATCTCAACAAAGTTGGGGAAACAGCTGGGAACTCTGGGGGTAGGGGAGGACGGAGCAGCACCTGTAGCCCACAGATTACAGGCTGTGTAGGCTCCAAAAGAAAATGGAGGAAAACTGCTGATATGGCTATTTCTCTAATTTCCCTATCCTAAGGGCTGCCATTGCAGGAGGATGTGTACAAAGCATGGTGCAGAAGGGCCTCCCCTGGTGGCGCAGCGGTTAAGCGCTGGGCTGCGAAGCTGCCTGCAGCTTCTGCAGTGCAGGTTTGATCCCTGGCCACCGGTGAGGGTCCCACATGGCACGCAGACCTCTCCTGCCGCCCACTGCTCCCCTAAACAGTGTACTTCGTCAGTCTGTCTGCTTTGCTCTCCCCTCTGGTTCTGGTGAATTCTCTCACCCTCCCGCACTTCTGACTGTACCCAGTGCTTTTATAAATAAATAAATAAATCTTTACAAAAAATAAAAATAAAAAAACTTAAAAAAAAAACAAAAACAACAAAGCATGGTGCAGAACAAGATGCTGTATATACCCACTTTCACAAGCACCTTCCCAATCTAGAGCTACTCCCCAGCCTTTCAGTATCTTCCATGTGCCTTGTCTCACTTTGCCACTGAAAGGGATCACCTCAGGTTTCAAGATGACCCTCACCATACCTCCTTACATGTACCCAATGATTCACAACTCATAGAGCTGTGTACTCAGGCTAATCTTGGAACTGTCAACATAGAAAACATACCATTTTGTAAAGAAAACACTAAGGCCTGGGTAAGCAAAGAACAAGGGCAGGACCTGGAACAAGCTGTTCTGAGACAGGGTTTGTGCTCTTTATATGACCTCACCTGAACACCTATGCCAAGTCAAGGTGAGTTAAAAAATCCTCAACTTGATGTATATGTATTTAACTCACCTTCCTTATGGTGACTGTGGCCACCAGGGCACAACACCATCTGGCAGGCTAGCCTGCTCATCCATCATGGCTGCACCTCACACCACCACCAAGCAGGACGAACTCCTAAGCCTGAGCCCCAGCAAAGCACTGACACTGGTGTTGCTGGGAGGAGGCCCACCCAAGGAGCCCATAAAGCATGTCCCACTCATCCCCAGGAGAGGTGCTAAGGAACACCTATCCATCCCTTCCAACTCCCCTCTCACACCACCGTAACATAAAGGATTTGGATGTCATGATCTCCAAGGACACTTTTGGCATTAAAGTCCTTTGCTTCTGTGACAGAGGTCATCTATCTGTGCATGCACTCATGAACAATGTCACAGCAAGGTCTGGATTAGCCAAACTCCATTCCAGGAGGAAGCATACCTACCATCAGGGTCTTTAAAGGTCAATGTGATGAATTTGCTAGCCACCATGAACATGAAGATCACCCAAAAGCATGCGGCCAACAGAAGCCACTGGTGGTGCATGTTGTCAAATGTCAGCCATTCAGTGATTCTTCCTGGAAAACACAAGCAAAATGCCCCTGGTGCTTACAAATAAATCGATTCAACAAAAGGTGATTTTAAAAAACAAAACAGATTATTTCAGTGAATAGCATCAATAATAATATTTTTGAATTTTCTGATATGATGGGTATTTTACTTAGTATTTAACATAATTTTACTTTAAATTAATAATATTAACTTTCAGATTTGGTAACTAAATCAAATGTAAGATACCTGAATGGTAAGGGATCGTTTCTATTTGTTTTTGGAATCCTGGTAAGATTTTTTTCAGGTTTGCCCTGTGGGTGCTTTCTGGCTCAGGCTAAAGCAAAATGTGTTGTTGGTCTCCAGCAACAGCCTGGAGTCTGGAAGTGGGTGGGCAGAAGGAGGTGCCAAGGGCTAGGCCTTTCTTGCAATTAATTTGCAGAGGGCAGAAGGTATACTGAAGCAATTATGAATAGGCCGTGTTTAAAGTCCTGACTTGGTGGCGTAGGCAGTTAAGCGCAGCACTGTGAAGTTGTTCACAGCCTCTACAGTGAGGGCTCGATCCCGGCTGGCCTGGGAGATACCCACATGGCACGGCAGACCTCTCCTGTCTCGCCTACTGCTCCCTTCAGCAGTGTATTTCAGTCAGTCGGCCTGTTCTATTCCCCGCTCTGTCTCTGGTGAATCCTCTCACCCTCCAACACATCTGGCCTGTACCCCAGTTCTTGTATAAATAAATAATAAAAAAATCCACTCTAACTTAAAAAATAAATAAAGTCCTGACTTGCTGACAACCTGTAGCCACAACTAGAGATTTTAAAACAGAATGGAAATAAATGCCAGAGTCTCTTCATCTCCATTCACTTGCCTGCAAGGGCCTGTGTAGAACCTTGGGGGTGGGGGGTTTTCATACTATCACCTCCCAGAAGTGATGCAGGGCAGGTCAGTCCTCAGCACAGCGCACAAGTCACACTCTGCTGCAGGGGACACACAACCGGAAAGTAGCAGTCAGTTCTTGACAAGAGAAACAAAAAAAGGGTGTTTTATTTTACCTTTAACACAGTGTTCCTTCAAGTCAAAGCAAAATTTAAAGAGATGGGGAGGAGCTGGGCTGGTTTCAATCATCTGACTGAGGCCATCCAACCTGGTGGCAAAACACTGGTTCTTTCAAAACAGTGTTAGTGACAAATGATTCCAGAGAGCTTCTGTGCACTAGGTGGACAGAGCTCAGCCCTCACTAAGGACTTGGGTAATCAAGTCTCCTCCTAGCCTCAAATTTTACTGCTTATAATCTCACTGAACCCAGGCATGTGAAAGCTAGTTTCTCTCCACAAAACCCAGCAAGTGGGCATCTAGACTACACCTGAATATATCCTGTGATCAGGAGCTGATCATCTGTCATGCAGCCTATGACATATAAGGAGGGTCCTGAGTCATCAACCTCTATCATCCTCAGGTGCTCACTGGTTAGACCCAGTGTGTTTCCTGGGGTCTCCAAGTAGAGTTGCCAGATTAAACAAATAAAAATGTAGATAATTAAATGTCAGATAATTAATAATGTTTAACAGTAAGCATGTCCCAAATATAATATCAGATGTACTTATACTAAAAAATTATTTCTTGTCTCTCTCAATTTCAAATGTAACTGGTTGTCTTGTATCTTATCTGGTAACGCTACACACCGAGGGGATGTCAATCCCTCTTTAACTGCTGAAGCCAGCAGGCCTATCTCAGTGGCATCTCCCTTTCTCCCCTCTGCCACCCCTTGTTTGAATTTTGAAACTATTTCCTTGCCAGCAGAGTCAAAGATGTAACTTGTCCACCTGGCCATCTCCCAGTCTCCAAGTCATTTCCATAGGTAGAGCAGGGAGTATTCTAATCAGGCACAAGCATGGTATCACATCATGCATTGATGTCTAGGTCTCTAAAAACCAGCAGAAGTACCAATAAAATCTAAAATCTGCTAGGTTGGGTCTTTATGAATTCTAAAAGTAGTGTGTCTAGCTGGCTGTAACATGCTTTTGCTTAGAGATTATATGCATTCTGAATCTAGTTATCTACCTAAAGGTGTGATTACCAGTCCTGGCTGAACATCAGAATCACCTGGGGAGAGGCAAATCAGTAAAATTTGAGAGGAAAACCCAAGAACAAAACTGATGACTCAAAATACTTAATGAAAAAAAAAAGAATCAGCTGGGGAGTTTTAAAAAACTATAATAATGTCCTAGTCCCCAAAAACATCCCAGCTAAGATTACACAAATCTCTGGAGCTGTATCCTGGGAATGTTTTAAAAGCTCTGCATAGGATTCTAAATGAACAACCAGAACCAAGAACTACTGTACTAGGCCCCCAATCCCACACAAATTCCCTGGGAACGTTGTTAAAATGCAGATTCTAGGCAATCTAACATAATAGCCATTCTCCCACCTCCTTCCATTATAAGAAGGAAAATTAGTAGCAAGAGAACATCTCAACAACTAGAGTCTATTGATACTCTGAATTACATGCACGCTGAATAGAGAACTTAAGGTTTAATTAGAATCAAAGACCTTCCATCACTGTTCCCAGTTACTTTCTTTTCCAGCCCTCCCTGGAACTAGACTCTGTAGAATTAGGATTTGGTCTGATCTTAAAAAAACCATAACAATTTGCTCCATTTTTTTTTCTAAAGAAGGAATTTCAAATTCCCTTGGCCCCAGCACCTCCAAGCCTCCCCTACTGTCTGCATTGTTGCCTTGATTACATAAGTTCTCCATGGACTTTTCTTGAGTCCAAAAATGACACCCTCAAGGCTCACTGTTTCTGTCTGCAAAGTCTGGGGTCTTAATATCACAGTCCTTATCCCAAGGCTCTGCCAGGAGCCACTGCTCTCTCTGCAGTCCAGTAACAAATGGCCTTTCAAAAGCCTGACATTTTCTGTAATTAATTCTTTGTTCAAGAGCGAGACAACACCCAAAGTGTCTCTTGTAGCTAATGGTAGCAAATCTGACTGTCCCCTGTGGTCATGATGTACACTCTAAGCAAAGCCCTTCATACCCCAGGGGTGGGAATATTCAACTTCAGAGGAAATCCATCTTTCCTATTTCCAGTCAGTAAATGGGATTTCCATGTGGTCAAGATGTCAGGATCTGAAACCAAGTCCTTTGGAAACCCACAAAGCAGGCTGGTGGTAAAAGAACATAAAACCTCCTGGGAAAAGCAAGAGCCTAACTGAACCTAGGAAAAAAAAAAAAAAAACATTTTTTTTCTCTCTAAGAGAAGAGCAAAAACAGTACACATTTTACATGTTTATAATTACCAATACTGATACTATTATATCTTTTGGCCAAATTCTCCCTCCCCTGCATTTTCAAAAAGCTTCTTGTAAATTCATTTCGCTCAGCTGCCAGTAAGTTCCTGTCAGGGACTCCCCCCACCTCCCCCACACACACTGCGTTTGAGTTGTCATGTAAAAGCATAAAGCCTATGTGAATGTGTGCTGAAGACTCTGACTCCAACCTTCCATGTTCAATGTTTACTATGCATATTTGCTTATTAAAAGTTCTGAAAAGTCCTGGGGTCAATAAGCCCACCTAACTCAGCTGTTTAAAACAGTTTTTTCCCCAAATGTCACTCATTCATTCAGCAATATATACCAAGTGCCTACTCTTACCCAGGAGTTGTTCTAAGACCTAGGGATGTGGCAAAACACACTCCCATGTACTTTGATCCAACAGAGGGAGACATGGCATAAATAGTCATGCATGTATAGATCACACCAGGCACTAACTGCCATGGCTGATGACAAAGAAGGGTGTGAGGATAAAGAGGGTGATATTGAGGAGACATGGACTAGAGAGAAGGAACAAATTATGCAACCACTAGGAGCTTGGTTTGGGTCCCAGAATCCCCAAAGCAGTAAGGAGGCCATTGTCCCTCATGCAGAGTGAACAAGAGAAGGAGTGGATCAAGTGGGGAGTCCCATCAATGACACTTTATGAAGGTGGAAACTCATGGATCCCCATCCCATCACACGTGCACCCTAGAAGAAGATCCTGTGTCCAGAGTTCAGTTTTTAAAACATTCTTTCAAAGTACACCCAGATACTAAAGGGAAGGTCATGAAGTAAATATGGTAATGCACAAGGAACTAGTAACTCTGGGAGGATGACCAGGGGAAAGGGAAACGATAGCTAGCTGAGGGCTGAAAAAATGGGGACATCTTATCGCCAGCACTTTTATACCTTTTAATTTTGAGCAAAAATTCATTAACTAATCAATGACATTATTAAACTACAAATTAATAAAATACTGTGCATTTAGCATATATATAAAGTTCTATTACTTTCACTATAATTTTTAAATTCACAGTAAGGATTTCTCTCAATCTAAGTTCAAAAATTTCCTCTGCTTATTGTGCCATCGTCATCATTTGCCATCTTAGAATGACTGATTGTCCTTAGTTACCAAAATGAAATACATTCCTATCTCTATCTGGCCAAAGAACATAGCTGAGTTAAATAGGTTCTCAAGAGAATGAAAATGAACAGCAACCACCTGTATGTGCACCCTGCCCCTAAGGCACTGCTTTTCACAGGTACTGAATTCACCTAATCCCCAGCCTGAGAGAATGTTGCCATTATTATATTTAAGAAAACATTCTACTTACATGTGTACATACTCCTACTTGAAAGTTTTAAGTTTCCTAAAATTTCCATATGAGCAAGAAAGGAGTCAGTAAGAACACTAAATAACATGGATCTCAAATGACTTTCAAGTTAACATTCTCCTCCCTACGGTCTAAGGCCTATGATCCACCTTTCCTTGTAGTATTTGCCTCCCCTGAGGTTCTTGGTTCCTCTTGTTACTGAACTGAATAACTGAAAAAACAGTAAGTACCATTAGAAGTTGTAAGATCAACTTACTGCACATAACTTGGTTGATATGTGAACTAGTTAACCACTTGCCATAACTCAAGCTTATTTTGCACAACAGGTCTCTCATAGAGATGGGTCATATTTTGATTTCTTGGTAAATAAATAAGTATCCTAAATATACCAAAAAATGTAATTGTTTTAAAAGAATCTTCCCTTCAATAAGAATGAATTGTTTGTAGCAAAAATAATCAATCCTATTATACCTGTTTTACATGTTTGATAATGGGTGGAGGATACCTATATAAGATGATCAAATCGTCCAATGGAAGATGTTTTCTGGGTTTTGTATTTCTTCAAGCTTTAACAATCTGACAAATTTTAGTAAAATGTCTTATCATGGTCACAGAAGTAAAGAGATTTCAGATTTAATAGAATTAGCTGGCAAAATAAACATTCAACTTAATGAATACATGATACAGCCCAAGCTGCCTGTAACACAGTTTAGCTGTGTTTCCCTCTACTCTTAAGTTCTTTATATTAAAATTAAAAGCAGGGCCTCCCCTGGTGGCTCAGTGGTTGAGCGCTGGGCAGCACCGGTTCGATCCGCCGCCAACAGTGAGGGTCCCACAAAAAAAAAAAAAAAAAATTAAAAGCAATTTCATGTTGCATAGGTGGAAAGATTAAGCATGCTGTACTCACATCCAGAATCTTCCAGATCTACATCAGAAGAAAATGGACTTTTTGGTTTCTGTAATCTGAAAGGTCCACATTCACCTTTCTCCCCATTTTTATTTCTGGTTCTCTACCACCTTTTCATTGTGCAGCCTCAAACATTTAAAAACTGAGCCGAAAATAACTGCAAATTATTCAAGATAATTCTTTCCTTCCTTTGTTCACTTTTATAGACACCCCAGTTTTCATTCCAGGAAGGCAAGAATTCCTATCAGGTATTTCTTTGAGAATCTATTATTCAGGGTTAAAAGCAAAGGTGGATTTGTACTTCCATCTTGAAATTCCAATTTTGATCCAAGGATTAAGCGTTTATTATAATGAGGGAAAAAGAAGACCATTTCTCTCTTTGTGTCTTTTCTTTTCAACTCAGTCCCTGAAGAGTGAATTAAGTAGGTGTTGCAGATCGGCAAGCCACAGCTAACCTGAACTGCCTCATTTTAAGAACGCCTGTGCCATTTTTCACTCTGGCAGTTAAAACTAACCAAGACCCAACTCTTCATGGCCCAAAACCTAAGACTTGTTCCAGACAAAAACAAACAAAAAACCTTTTATTGACAGTCCTCCCATGTGGTTAACAAGAACCTGGCTGCACTGCCTGGCCCTTTCCTGCTTGGAGCAGACTTGGAAAACAAAACCTACAGCTTTTGGAAAACCTGCCTCATCTTTCCCAACCAGTAGAGCAGAAATTTATGCCTCGATCTCTAACTTCTGACAGGCCTCGCGGATTGTCAAAATCAGAGATAGTCAAAAGCAAAGGCCAAAAGCACCCTGGCAGGAAACAGGCATTCCCAAGTATTGCTTCCTTCTCTCCCACCACAGCAGCAGCGCTCAACTGGGCTCCTCCAGGATTGCACACGCTGGTTCCTTCTCCCCTGCTCCTGCTCTCTCTTCATGCTCCCTGGACGAGAGTGGAACATTTCCTTTCTTTCAAAGGCACATTCTCACTCAAGGATCTCAGAAGTGCATCAGAGATCACCTAGTACCAATTACTCCACCCGACCCTGCACCCCTCAGCAAGGACGCCGCCTTCTTGCATAATTAACGTGAGAAGGTTGCTCTCCACAATCCCACCGACTAGAAGGTCCCCGAGTAGCCCAAACACACCGGCGTGTTGCTCGGAAAGATACTCCGCCTCACCCGCTTCTCCGTCCCCCGGGGGGAGGCCAACAGCCCGGGGCCCGGGGATGCTCGAAGCTCACCCTCCGTGGAGCCGGGGCTAGCCGGGGTCCTCGGGCCCTCCCGGCCCTGGGCGCGGCTCCGCCGTGGCCTCGCGGGCCTGTGGGCAGCGCGCAGGGCGCCGGCGTCCCGGGAGCGCGGGGGGCCCGCCCCGCCCGGAGGCCTCCGCGCCGCCGCCCGCCAGTCCGGGGGCCGCCGCGGCGCACCGGAAGGAGGAAGACGGGGCGCGCGGCCCTCGGAGGGACCGGGGGGTGGCGAGGCCGCCGCCACACGCGACCCGCGCCCGCCCGTGCGCGCCGCCCGCCGGCGCTCGTCCCCGCCGTCCCGCCCCTGCGCGCGCCGCCCGGCTGCGGGGAGGCGCGAGGAGGCGCGAGGAGGCGCGGCCGCCCGGCCCCACGACCCCGGCCCCGCGGCGGACGCGCCGCCCCGTCCCCGCCCGGCCCTCTCCGCTCGCTTCCGCCCACGGAAGACGAATCACATTCCAGAAGGTTGCGGAGAGGCCACGGCCACGCCGAAGCCAGGCGCCGCGGGGCTCGCCATCCGGGTGTTGGAGAGGGGAATAAAAGGCCCCATCCGAAACTTGAGAAAACGCGAAAGAGAACAAAAAGCCAAAGTTGGAAAAAGGCGAAATTGTGTTTTCTAATCAGCCCACCTCGAAAAAGCCCCCCTCTGCTGACAGGCTCAGGTGTGGAAGAACTGATGAAGGCCAGAAGTGCTGGTAGCCCCTTGGAGTTGCAACTTTTTTTTAAAGTGACTTTTTTTTATTAAAATTTGTTTATTTAAAAATATATATATATTTAGGGGCCTTCCTGGTGGCGCAAGGGGTTAAGCACCACACTGTGAAGCAAGCCGCAGCCTCTACAGCAGCACGAGTTCGATCCCTGGCCGGCCAGGGAGAAACCCACATGGTGCAGCAGACCTCTCCTGTCTCACCTGCTGCTCCCCTCAGTAGTGTGTTTCAGTCAGTCTGCCTGTTCCCTTCCCCATTCTGTCTCTGGTGAATCCTCTCACCCCCTGCATCTCTGGCCTGTACCCCAGCTCTTGTATGCATAAATAAATAAATCTTCAAATATATTTAAAGATTTATTTATTATATTAAAATATAATATATTCATATATATTTAAAATATATGTACGTCATTGTTCATTTTTGTACAATGCTTGATTTCTCCTCTCATGTGCAGTCCCCATAAAATCCCCCTATGACCCAGCAATCCCACTCCTAGAAATCTGCCCAAAGGACACAAAACATTAATTCAAAAGGAAAGTTGCAACTTCTTAATCCATGTAAGTGGATAAGGTGTCAGGATTTTAGAGCCTGGTAGAGAAGGCAATCCCAAGAATGTTGGGGATTTTATTGCCCTGGAAAAGGTAAACTAGTTTTGATCTAACCTTCTTGTTTGTTAACTACCTGACTATAATCTACATCCGTTTAGCAAATCAGTGCAATAGATATGTGTTTACATGCACACTGTACATGTACACACATAAAATTGTCAGGTTTTCAAGGAACCAGTTTTTGTTTTGTTTTCTCTGTTGGTTCTCCTTAATTAATTAAAATATAATATTGATGGGGTTCACCATTTTAGAATTTCATTTTAACATGATTACCATCATAGTTTTAAGATGGGTTTACTTAGTCTTTTGTTTGTTCATTCAGACGATTATTGAGCCTTCTATTTGACAAACATGACAAACCTGTTCGACAAACATTTGCTTTCTCCTTAAGGATTTGAGGAAACTAATGCACACAAGCCCTCAGGGCAAGGAGCAAGTTCTCCCCAGTAGTCATCCTCCTAATAGCACTGACGTTACAGCAAGTGTCTTAATATTACAGTGGCTTTACAGTTCCAGTATTACAGCAGAAATTTACAGCAAATTTTACAGCTTGATTTACAGCAAATGTTTGTTTATTCATTGGGAGCTACAAGACTGTAGTCTACGGGATACAAACTCAAGGCGCAGTTGATACCATGTCCAAGGAGTAAGCAGAGGAACAAGTTTATATAGGCAATTGGTGTGGGGCTCCATCCACTGTATGCACATGAAGTGTTCAGTCCCTGCAGTTCTGATTGGTGAAGAGTTTGTCAAGCAGTAATTGGTGGAATTTCAATCTGGGGTGTGGCTTGCCAGCATGGTTTCATTTCTTCTGGGCTGTGGACTTCACTGTGGACTTCACTGTCCATACTTGGACATCTGGACAGGCTTTGGGACCTGACATCCCCTATGGTGTGGCTCTTCATGTCTGCTGGGTGAGTGTAGCAGTTATGCATCCCTTCTATTCCTTCATTGATACTTTCCTGGCTGGGTGATTAGGGGTGCTTTGTTATTACACCCCATGTGGTCCCCACTGACACCATAAGAGGCCCTGACTCTCCACTAGACATTCTCTAACACCAGCCAGTAGGGTATGAGAGGTGAGTGGGATGAAAATTCACACTCCTCGAATGGTCTCCACTGACACCATGGAGTGGGTTTATTCCCACCCAGTGGAGGTGAAATTCCTGGCTCCCTATTCTGTTTTTTCCTGACATTACCACGTCAGTTGGGTTGGACATCTTGCCAAATCCTAGTAAGGGTAAAATCCTGGGCTCCCCATTTAGCCTTGCTTGCAGGAGTTAGGATGGGGCACTAGTATTTTCTGTGATTATTTTCTAAATGTTTTCTGTCTTACTAAGCTGACCTTTTTTTATTCTTTGGGATATAAAAAGCAGGGTTTTAGTAGAGCTTTTTTGTTTGTTTAATCTGTATTCATTGGCCTTTCTGGGTTGTTCCAGTCTGGGATAGTTGATGCAAAAAAGAAAACCCAGAAAAAACACTACCATGTCATTCTTTAGGTCGGAAGGTTCCCATTCACTCTGCCTTCTCCCCTGTGCTTTTCAGAGTCTTCTCTTTTATATACAATGCTCAGTGTTTTCAGTTGTACATAGTGGGAAGAATAAAGAAAAGTGCCTCTGCTCCATCTCTTTGAAAGAAGAAATAATATGCACACAAACTGTGCTTCTAAAGTTGACTTATAATGACACACATGGAACTGAAAGCACAAAACCAAAATACAACGTGGGGGAAAGCCCTCTGCCTCAGTTAACCATTGCCATTACCTTTACAATACTTAGTTGTGTCTCTTAAATCACTAACATTTTAACTTCCCTAGTGTTGGGGGGAAAGGATGTCCTGAACAAACTCCACAAATAGGCTTTATGGACCACCATAAATGGACCACCATCACCCCAGACCAAAGAGATCCAAGACACCAAAGACTGCAAATCCCATAATGTCATCACCACTGAAGGGAGGATTTCTGGGAACTGAGGGTGGAATTAAGCAGCCAGGCTTGGTATATAGCCAGACATGTGGGCCTTGGGGGCCCCTTGGTTATTCACTGACTTTCAGCATGCTATTGGAGTTCCAGCTCAGCAGAGCTGGTAGGACACATCACCAATTTATCTCTCTTTCTCCCTAAGTCATTCCTTTCTTCATTTTCCACTTTTTGTAAATAAACCCTTTATTAACCCTTTGTGTGTGCCTGCAGTTGAGTCTCATTATAAGTCCCTTTTAAGCATGTAGATGAGAACCCACAGTCAGGCCAACCCATTTCACATAGGGGTTGCCCTGTAACACCAGAAAGTCTTAAGCAAACCTCCAGGAACTAACTGCATTCCCACTGAATTGCTATTGACAGGTGAATGACAGAGATTTGACCCAGACCCCCCCCCCATTCTCCCCAACAGTACCAGTGCAATAACTGTGAGCTTATAAAAATGTGGAAAACAACAACCAAAAGACTAAAGATAACAGTAGTGACATAAACAGTCAGACTGATGTCAGGCTGACTGAAGATACCCTCATATAAGCCCTATGGGTGCTTTGGTGGTGGGTGTGGTATAGTAATAACACCAGACAGGGGAGATCCTACACCTCTAAAATACAACGTTTAAAGCCATGTTTCTGGGCCTCCCCGGTGGCGCAGCGGTTGAGCTCTGGGTTGCAAAGCTGCCTGCGGCCTCTGCGGCACCGGTTCAATCCCCAGCTGCTCCCCGGCCACCGGAGGAGGGTCCCACATGGCGCGCAGACCTCTCCTGCCACCCACTGCTCCCCTCAGCAGTGTACCTTGTTCCTTCTGCCTGCTCTGCTCCACGCTCTGGCTCTGGTGAATTCTCTTACCCTCCCGGACTTCTGACTGTACCTAGTGCATGTATAAACAAACAAACAAATAAATAAATAAAACATGCCTCTATTTAAAAAAAAAATTATATTAAAGCCCATGTTTCTTCATCAATAAAACAATAACAACAACTACAAAAAACCTACTCTAAACCCCAAGAGGGAAGGTGGTTTCTTTTGGATGTGCAAATCCATTTCCTCAGAATACTGGTTTTCTAAATAAATCTAGCTTTCCCAGCCCAGCTCTTGTCTCCTGTTTGTCTTGTGAGTGGTGGGTGGCTAGGCCTGGTTTCTTAGCAACAGAATGAATTCACTTATCTAACTAATTCCCTTATAGCATTCCATTGTGTGTCTAAACCTCAATTTATACCTTTCCCCCCAGTGATGGACATTGATGTAGCTTTGCTCATGTCTCCTTGTGCACATGTGAGTTTCTCTAGAGGACATACCTACTATGCTTGAGACATAGTAGGGTCTATTTTTTCAATTTTTCTAGATATTCCCAAATTAGTTCCAAAGGGATTGCACTAATTTTCTTATCCACCACTTCTTTGTCATGATATTGTCAGATTTTTTATTTTTGCCAATCTTATTTGTATGAAATAGTATTTAATTGTCTTAATTTTAATTACTGCTAGTCTTTGATAATTAAATGTCATCTTCTCTGAATTACTTGTTCAGACCCTTTCCCAAGTCCTGGCTCAAGCCATTAACAGCTGTAATATCAAGCAAGTTATCTAAATTCTTCATGTTAGTTTCTTCATCTGTAGAGTGAAAAATGTATAATAGGACTCCATTATTACTACCAGCTGATAATTAGGATAAAGTACCTTCATGCCTGTTTAAAAGTTGACCAGTACATAGTAAGCACTATATTATTGCTAACTAGCATTAATTTGTAGCATATATATTAATCTATAT